AAAAACATCTGAGAGGTGGGGGTTTTTCTTTTCATTGTTTTGTCTTAGGTGGAAATGAGTGGGATGTATGAGAGCAAAATCAGGGATGCAGAAAGGTCTGCTTGGTGAGAGACTGACTGTTTCAGGGGGAGTGAGCATCACTGCTGATTCCAGTGGGGTGAAGAAAGAAAAGATAGAGCTAATTAAAGAAATCAGTTATGTTCTGAAAATGCACAAGCTGATGGTGGACACTCAGGCACATAGTGAGACCATCCAAACAGCTGGATGCTGTAATGCCATTGAAAGGAAAAGTATGTGGAAGTAGAGCCAGCAGCGTCCTATCTACTTTGGCCATGCTGCCTGGGATGGGCTCCAAAAGGCCAGGACTGCTATGGTGCAATGCATTTGGGTGCTTGCTGGTGTCTTGAGATAAGGTGTCCATGAAAGAGCCATGTAGGAAACCCATCCCACCCTCCAGCTCCTCAGACAAGGCTTCCTCTGCTGTGGTAGGGGTTTGGAGCTTGTGACTTAAGCAGAAAAACGCTCATCATCTCTGAACCCTCCAAATAATTCAGCTTCCCATGTCTGGGTGAGGAATCGTGCATTCAGGGGTATCAAAAAGAAAATGGCATGTAAAGGGAATGGAAGGATGTAGTCACTGACGAGAGCTCTATGACTTTAAGCTCTACGATCAAGCAGTCTTTTTAGTTGGGCATTATAATGTAAGTTTTAAAGCTGAAGGCAAACATGCTTTTTTTTAACTGGCTCTTTGTTATGGTCTAGACTTTCTGTATTGTCTGGGAGAGGAAAATTGCTGCCCTTAAACCACTTGGGTGCAAGGGAGACTGAGGCGGGAGCGTTTCCTAAAGCTCTGAGGTTCCCAAGTGTCATCACAGTTCACTCCCCAAGGGTGTTTTAATGGGTTCCAGCTTAAACCAGTGAAAAGCTCTTAATGGAAAACCTCAAGCAATAAACAAAATAATAAATACACGTGCCTTAAAAGTGGGATAGTTGGGCTTGGAGCTGAGAGCTGGCTTTAGGGGTGGGAGGGTTGGTTGGTGTAGCAGCGCGTGGTGGGTTTTATGGTGACCCAGCAGTCGTACGAGTGCTTCATGGAAAGAAACCCAGTGGTGTTTCTGAATATTGCTCTTGCTGGCAACATTTCAGGGAGCTTCAGAAAAGCAAATAAGGTATAAGGTTACTGACAATCTGTAAAACCAAGGACAGAAAATTTGCTTACACAGCCTATAAAAGGACACACTGTTCCCTCGGAGGCCGATGCTTTTCCTGTGTCCAGACTACATTGATCGGTTGTGAATATCCTTACAGGGACCTAGGAAAACTGATGGAAAACTTTGCTATCAAGGAGTATCAAATAAAGAATGAGGTGAAACTTTTGCTTCCTTATTGCCTGTTTTCCATCCATTAATTTGGATTTGTAATGGACACCATACACCAGGAGAGCCGTGTGGACTGTGATTCCAGTAGTAATTTGGCTTTTGATGATGAGTCCTTTGGCTGCTGCCCTCATTGCAGGATGTTTCTGAATGTGTTTATTAAACATGCCATTTGTTGCAGGTTAAATCGCAATGGTGAAGCTTCTTTTACATGTGGAAAAAGATAATTCATGTGTCTTGTGTCCATCTGTCAAGACTATTTTGCAGATTCATGTTGTCTGTATCTTTTCAGCATGTGTTTTTTTGGTTATTCAAACTGTACCAGGAAGCACTGATACTTGCCTTCAAAACTTGTGGCAAAAAGGCACACATGTGGCTTTTCCATAGGGATATTGGTAAATCCAAAAGTAAGTAATCTAGGAAGGAATGAGGAATAGAAAGACAAAGCTCTCGGGACTCTCTCTCCATGGCATTAATTCACTTATGACTTCTGTGGTTGCTTTTCTCTCTCTGTAAACTGTGCAGTGATCTTTCTATAGCCTTAACTTGTATTAAAACCTTCCTAGGGAGCACATAAAGGGAAGCTGTCCTCAAGCTAACAATCACTTCTAGTGTGCTTCTCAAAAAGAGTTGATTCAAGAGTTGGTCATCTCGTCAAAGCTCACGGAATTTGCTCTCTTGTACAGGGCATTACAATCTTAAAAACCTGTTATACCAAAATTAGCTTTTAATTGAATTCCCAAGTACTCTGTGTGACTTCACTGCTGAGAGTAAATGGGCTTTACGTAGGAAGTAAATATCACTGCAGACGCACTCTGCTTGGGCCTGTAGAAGTGGTCTGTTAGCGTGCGAGATACACCATGTATTGGAATTTATACTCCAATTAACTTCAGAATTCTGGAATAAGACTTGGAGGAAGTTGGCAAATCACTTCTTGTACAGCATGTGTTGCCATAGGTATAGATAGAAATACTACTGCAAGGCTAAAATAAGTTAGCTGGGAAATCTCTGTTCACACTCGTGTCCCAGTAGCATGGCAAATCTTGTCCTGCCTGCATCTTCAGTTATCAGACATCTCAAGTGGGGTGGCTTGAAAATTGAATAGTTTCAGGTGAGATCAAGTGAGATGTGGTTCAGAAGTGATGTGTAGAAGTTACGGTTTAAAATGGCAAGTAAATAGTTTATTTCTGTGTTGAGTGTTCACCAGAATTTCATGGCTGTTTGGGGTTTTCCTATCTGTGGCTGCTGGGGCACACAACTAGCTAGAAGATAGGGCAGATACATAAGCCTGTGTCTGAAAGCCTCTAAGGTGGACACAGGTGAGCACTGTGATTTTGAACTTGTTTCCCAACATGTAATTTTTCAAGGTATGGACGCAGTTGTAACAACAGGTTCTAAGTTTCTTCCACAAACAAAATCATAGTTGAATAGAAAGTGAACATGATTCACCAATATTAAGCCAGTTTTAGGCCCCTTTCAGCAAGTTCACTACCACATCCAGCGCATCCTTCCCGCATCCGCTGTGATGTTGTTTAAGAAACACCCTACCCATGTATTGATGCTTAGTGAGCTCTGAAAGAAAGAACAATCAGTTTGGGCAATAAAAATGGCATACAAAAGACAGAAGCTGTGATTTATTTTGGGAGATGGAGTAGAGTGTCAAGCAACACTTTAAAGGTCACTTGTCTCAAATAAACCTTATCTCTCTCTCAAATTTCAAGAGAGATTGTGGTGTTTCCTTGCATCCAAGCTGCATTAAATGTCTTTTACAAGAATATATTGCAGACTCCAGCAGCAGTGTTTTACATGCCTATGTGCTGTATAGGTGAGAGAAATGAAGGGGAGTGTGGCAAGGAGAGTGAAGATCAATTGAAAGTGATTAATGAATTGATTAGAACATTTCTTTGGGAACAGAAGAATCTTTGAGCCAGAACAGGCTTTGGTAGTGCCAGTTTTTTGGTAGAGAGAGGCACCTGCCCTTGTTGTCCTGGGAAGTCCCATAGGATCAGTTCTGCTCTTGGTCCTACTTTGTTCTTGGAGCTGGAGGTTTGAGGATCTGGATAGGAGAGAGTCTAAATTTAATTTCCTTGTGTCTGTATTATCACAGCGTGGGACTGGCTGAGGGATGGGGGAGCCGGTTTTCGGGGTAGGGAGATGGTGAAGATGGGGACAGGCTGGGGAGATTGCAGCAAATCCGTGCTCTCATTAAGGCGGGGGTGATGGATCCACATGAGTTGATTTGTTCCATGATTTCCTAAAGCTCTGGGGTTTTTCAGCTGCAGTGACCTCCAGTGTGTCAGGGGCTGCCGGCAGCCCTGCCTAGCAACTTGCTAGCAGCTACTGTGCTGTGCTGGATGCCATCCTCCTGGCAAATGATGCACTGACCTTGCTCGTGCGTGCCTCTATCTTGCTGCATGGCTGATAGCCTTGCAGCGTGTTTGCAGAGCAGCTGGCTGACGTGGGGAGCAGAGGAGCAGTGTCACCCTGCAGCATGGGGCCACCAAGCACTGTGATGGGGACAAGCCAGAGGAACCACCTCCATCAGCACAGAGGTGTCACCAGCAAAAGGAAATCCAAATCTCTGCAGGCTTTAAGGGAGATAATATAACACTTGCTGCCCTGTGCCCATAGGTGTCCGTACTATTTCCATATGTGACACAAAGATGCGTGGACACATTCAGATGGATATATACGAAGCCAGCCTGTGCTCTGCAGCAGAATTAAATCTCAGCTTTCCTTCTTCCCTTTTACACATCTCATTGCTGTTGGAGAGGTCACCTCTCGGTTTACGTCACCTCTCGGTGTACGTCACCTCGTGCTTCGTGTGCTGACAGATAGTGAATGTATCTTTTGGCCACTGGATTGGATTTTGTCAGCTGAGTGTTTTGACCTTTCTGCTGTTCTCAAATCCTCAAAATAGATTTTTCAGCCTGTTTTTTGGGTAGCTAAACATAGGCTTCAAAGTGCTGCGTTTCCTTTGTGCTTGGATCAGTTCACTTTCTATACCTACTGCTTGGATGTATTATTTTTAATGGGACTTTAGCAATCTCTTGCTTTTCAGACTTTGTCTTTTCCCAATTTCATGTGAAATAGATAGTAATGTACAGGGTGGGTATCTTACACTTTTGTTTGTAAGTAAAATAGACACAAAGCTAGAATAAGGTAAACAGTAGGATAGTGAAGAAGTTCTGTAGTCTTTCATTTAGGACAAGAGGGAATGGCTTTAACCTGCCCGAGGGGAGACTGAGCTGAGCTCTTAGGCAGAAGCTCTTCCCTGTGAGGGTGCTGAGGCGCTGGCACAGGGTGCCCAGAGAAGCTGTGGCTGCCCCATCCCTGGCAGTGCTCAAGGCCAGGTTGGACACAGGGGCTTGGAGCAAGCTGCTCCAGTGGAAGGGGTCCCTGCCTGTGGCAGGGGTTGGAGCTGGAGGAGCTTTAAGGTCTCTTCCAACTCAAACCACTCTATGATTAGTCAAGCTTAGTCTAACTTGTCATAGCTTTTGAGAGAAAGCTAAGTTACAGATAGATAATCAATTCTGTACAAAAAGTTTTACAAATAACTTTGTTTTCAGATCAAACTTACATTTCTTATTTCCCTTTCTTTCCCCAAATCTGTGTTACTTACAGCTTCCAGCCGATCTTACCAAGATGCATCTTACCGACAATCCTCATCCTCAGGTGACGCATGTCCCTTCAAGCCAGTCGGGATGTAGCATTGCCAGTGATTCTGGGAGCAGCAGCCTGTCTGATATTTATCAGGTAAAACGGCATTTGTGTTGTATTTTTCCTCCCTTGATGTTAAACATTCCAAAACCAAAACCAATGGCCTTTTATCCAAGGCTTGACCTCTTGATGCTTCTGCACATCCCTGTGTTGCTTGTGTGACTTACAACCTCCACAGCCACACAGAAGTGAACTAAACTCCTTGTAAAGCTATCGTTACTGCTTTTCACATCTTTATAAGCCCCAAGTGTGCTGTGGCTTTTAAAAGTCCCATTTCATGTTCAACAGATCATCTTCCTTCTTTCTGAAGTGGAACAGATTTCATTAAATCATTCTTGTGTTTCAGATACCTTCCTTGATGATTTGTATTACTGTTAATAACAGATGTTCTGTTCTGCAAGCCAAAGTGTGGTAATAAACACACTCTCTGCCCTGACTGACTGTGGAAATTCTAGTGTTGCAACTCTTGCAGGAGGGTACTCCACATGATGCTCAAGCAGCCGCTGAGCATGATGCGGATGTAACTTGACTTGAGACGCCCTTTGCCTTTCCTTGGTGCTACCCGAGTACTATTGCTGTACATGGTGAAATAGTTTAGTGTTACATCTATCTACAGCAAAGTATTGCTAGGTAACTTTAAAACCAAGGCATTAAAAGCCAAAATCCCTTTAGAATACGAAGTGTCTCTAAGCATTTTTGTCCTATTTAATCTATTACTGTACAACTTCTTTAGATTTCCTTGCTGCCAGCTAGGTCAGGAGTAGCTGGAATCCCTGAGGGAGTCTTCATGGTGCTCTGTGCTTTCTCTGATGGTGCTGGAAGATGTTGCTCTGTCTCTTGATTTATTTATTTATTAATTTTCTGAGTCAACGGAATTGATTTAATTAGCTGGAATCACCAGAACTAGTCTGTGTATTGTACCTTAACATCTCATATATCAGGATACTGATGGATGGGTCTTCCTGACCATTGTCTGCCTCCCTGTCTACCTGATGAGTTTGGAGAGGTTGCTCTAAGTGAAAAGCACTTAAAGTATATTATTGATGGGAAAACTATCATTCTAGGAATGAGTGACTCCTCTGTCATGTCTCGTTCCTTGCATTTGAAATGCTTTACGGCTGCTCTTCAGAAAATGCCAGAAGAACACAACTGCTAAACAAATGAGTTTTATATAAAGAAATAATGGAGTAGCATATTTATATGCACTGTTACAAATGAACGGTGGTGAAATGTATTTTTGTACCCTAAGGAATGATTAATAATATGAAAATGACTCCAGATTGTTAATAAACCAACCCTCAGTTGGTTTTTTAATCCCTTTTTTAGTGAATTTTTCCTGTCTGGTTCCTGCATGCAGAATGTGCAAATTGTAACCTCTTAAAAGGTATTTTATGGACTTTACTGCAGTAGCTATAACAGTTTTGGAGAGGTCTCTTTGTGTTTGTCGCACAGTTAGAAGTGCATGGGTAGATACTGTGCAATAAAGTCATGGTAGAGTATTCAACACAGCATTATATTGTGGTGACACATCAATATAGACGGATTCTGAAATCAGAAAGAGAAGTGTTTTCCCCAATATTCATCATGGTATTATGAAAGCCGAGAGTCTCTTTGATACGCAATAAACCTACATTTTGATTAAATGTATTGGCTCAGTAGCTGAAAGCATTTTTGGTGCATTAAAATAGAGCTTTTCATAGAAGCATTTGGAAAATGATGGTTTGCTTTTGCTTTTACAGTCAGCTTCATATCTGTAACATGCCAAACTCTCCAGGAGTATCATTAATGTCAGCAGAGAGAAAAGCATTTTTGAGTAATTGTGATTAATGTAGCCTTGAAATGACCTTTTGAATTAATGGTATCTTTAACATTAATTTTTACAGTAAGTAGTGCAAACGTAATTCCAGAATAGGAAAACACAATTAGAGTGGTAGAAGCAAAGAGCAAAGCAATTTTTTATGAATACTGGAAGGCGTTTCCGTTCCTCTGTGTACACTGGACCCATTGACAGTGTTGAAATGAGGTTTCGCTTGTTCCAGCTGCCTCTCAGTCCAGGATGTTAAACAGGAAGCGATGAACATAAAGCTTGAGGTGAGATCAGCAGAGAAGGAGTCCTGCCTGCGAGCACATTGTACGAGACACCAGTTGGCTGCAGAAACACAGGAACATACATGTATAAAGACATTTTTCTCCCTTCTCCTGTGCTGTTACTGCTCCCTGTTGAAGCTTTCAGTGTGTTTGTGGTAAAATGCCCAACTATATCTATTGCAAAGTCCAACTTCCCTGGGATACTGCAGAGCAGTTGTTTCTCTCTTGGACTGTAGGCTTTTATTTTAACAGAGAGAATAAAGTAAGTTCTCCCTTACAGGTTTTAAAACAACTTGAATTTACTCAAAGTGGGGTTTTATTGCTATTAGTTTTTCATTCAACCCATTTCTGACACTCTGCTTAGCTTCAGAACCACAGAAGTAGGGGAAGCTCTATGGTTATGCTTACAGAAGTTGAAATGAGGGATTTTACCCCTCAGCTGCTTTGACCTGTATTAAGTATCTTCATATAATAATGCAGCAGGTATTGCAGGGTAAAAGCATCTTTCTTTGCTGTTTCCTGGGACAGGCCAGAGCAGCAGGTAATCCACATCGTCCCTCCAGATGTAGGTGGGTAGGGTCTCACTCTACTAGAATGAATTAGTTCCCTGTATCGACAGCTTGCAATGCTGTTCTCTTAATGAGCAGCCAATTGTTTCTTATCTGCTTAGTTCTGTCAGTGATGTACTTAAAGCTTCTCTCTTTCTCTTCTTTTTCGATCTCTCATTTATCACTTTGGCAGGGTATGCTATTTGTGGGCAGCAACATTATTGCCCAGCACTAATTCCAGTTGTGGTTAAGGCTTGGATATTAAAATGGATTATCTATAAAATACGCATATGGGAGTGGGCCTTACTTGAGGGTTTTTCTGTCAATTCTGAAAAAAGGCTTGGACTTTTTTCTCCTGACAGAATTGACATGAGGGAAGGGGAAAAAAATCCCTTGTTCTTAATAGGTTGCATCAGGAGTCACAAGCATTAAATATGTTATCATATGGAGTTATTACAGGAAATCTTTCAAGTGGTGTCAGGGTATATTTCTGACCCACATGATAGTGGAATACGTATCACTGTCACTACAACACTGCAAGGGCTGATTCTTAACGTCTTTAGCTTTAAAGCATAGGCCAGTGGCTGGGACATTGCCACAATGGGACAGTGGGCAAACAGAGCTGATTCATGTTAACTGGCAAAATCTGCAGTATTACATAGGGTACTAATGTATTTTAAGATAGCAAATAAGTGTTTTGACCATGATCTGGTGCTAACTTCCCAGGTGATCCCCTTGACACACACCGTTTGAGGCTGTGCCAACACTCTTCTCGGTAGATAATCTTGCCATATATTCCTGATCCTGAAAATCCATGTTTGTGTAAGATTTGGGGATTGCAGCTTCTGCTTTCAGTCTGTACATTAGTGACTCATAAATGTTTCTATTAAGGCTGTTTTTGATATTTGATAGTGGAAACAGCTGGGGCATGGTGCTTGGGAAGAGCAGCCACTTCTGCAGATGGCTTTAGGAATGAAATCCTTCCTGTCCCTTCCAGCACCGCCTGACCTGCCAACGTTTTGTCAACCATCTGCATGTAATCTTTGAAACACGGTTTGAGGATCATCTCTTATTTCATAGCTTGATCAAATGATCACATTTATCAAGAAAAGAGAAGATTGGCTTCTTTTCCTATATATAATATACAATGGAAATAGAATCACTTTTCAGTAGACCCTGTTGCTTGTTTTGTTAGCTTAGCTTGAGTTTATCAAAGTGGGAGTTAGTTCTGTAGCCTGTCTTGCTCTGCCTGGAGAAGTTGATGTAAATTGTGGCTATTTAGCTGAAGAAATGCTAGAAAAGTCCTTGCATAAAATGCTGTGTGGATCATGTGCTGCTGAGACTCTCCAAGCACAATTTGCACTTGGGCTTAATTCCAGAACTGTTAATGTGAGCTACATAAGCCAGTAAAGTGATGTAATGTAAAACAGATTTAACCCTATATATGCCATTACCCTCCTCTGAAAGAAATACTGATGTTAAATCATTTAAGCCTTATTTCTTAGGTTTGCTGGCTAACCATTAAAAAGAGGGCAAGCTCAAAAGGCCCAAGGTGATACCTAAATCCCGGTATTTTTCTGTCTAGTCAGAGAAGGAAATGCTGCTCATCTGTCAAAGTGCTGGGGCTGGCATTAGCTGATCAACATGGAGCGTGTGGGAAGATGGAGGCAGCACAGTCTGCTGTGATTGAATCACTTATAACGAGTGTTATTTTGTATGAGGAAAGGAAGGCAGGAGACCAGTGTGGCTGGAGGAAGACCCGCAGGTCAAACTGAAGCACAAGGAGGAAATGCACACAGTGTGGGACCAGGGACATTATCCTGGGAGGAAGACAGGGACACTGCCCGCAGGTGTGGGGTTTGGATCAGGGAAGGCAAGGCATGGTTGGAGCTGGATTTGGCAAGGGATGGGAAGGATAAGAAGGGTATATTAGTCAGAAAAAGATTAGAGAAAATGCACTCCCTTCCCTCCATAAACGGAGGTGAATGCACCCCCTCCTGCCTCCGTAAAGGCAGGAGAACCAGTGATGTGGAGGAGGCTGAGGCACTCAGCAGTGAATTTTTTGCCTCTGTAGTCATTCTTCCCACATCTCTCAAGTCCCTGAACCTCAGTGTGGGGACGGGAAATCAAGTCCTTCCCATGATAACAAAACATCAGGTTTGAGACCACCTGAGGAACCTGAACATACACAAGTCCATGGAACTCAACAAGATGCATCCCAGGTCCAGAGCTGGATGCTGTAGCTGCTGTAGGCACTCTCCATCTTACTTGCAACGTCGTGGCAGTAAGAGGAAGTCCACAGTGCCTGGAGAAGAAGGAACAAGGCTCCAAGGAGACCTTATTGCAGCCTGTCAGTACTTAAAGGGGCTTATAAGAAAAACTTTTTACCAGGACCTGCTGTGGCACAAGGGGCAACAGTTTTAAACTGCAGAAGAGGAGATGCTGAGCCACTGGAACAGGTAGCACAGAGAAGCTGCGGCTTTCCCATCACTGAAGTGTTCAGTGTCAGGGTGGATGGGATCCCATCCTTTGGTTTGGAGGTTTTGTGAACATGCAGAGCATTTGCTGTGTTGGTTTGTTCCGTGTTTTTGTATAATCTCCAGGATTCCTCTTAAAGAGAAAGGGAATATTGTCAACGTGTTCATTTAAAAAGCTAAACTCTCTTTTCTGCCAGTCTCAATGTAATTGCTTTATACTTCTCAGTGGCACATCTTGTTGTTCAACTCTTTGAATTTAAACAGAAAAGTGATTTGCATGCTGGCTTCAACTAAAAAAAAAGTGATGGAGAAACTCCTCGGTGGAGATCGCAAATTCAAAACTGCTGCTTTTTTTTTTTCTTTGCCTCCCATCTGTTTGCAAAGTTATTTTCATGCAATTACATCATTTAAACTTTACATAAGGAATTACAGCGAGTCTTGTGCCATTCTGCTTTTTGTTACCAGTATTGCATTCTCTTCCACCAGCGCGTTGCATGTCTGCTCAGTGTGATGCCTCTGTTGCCATCTATTGATGGCAGTAGAGATGTATTTACACCACTGGGTAACCAGTGGTAGTACTGAATCATTGCATTATTTCATTAGTAATACAGGGTCTCACAGTGTGAAAAAACGTCTTATTTATGTGAATTTGCAAACCAGAGTAAATGCTATCAAATGAGAATCAGCCAACAGAGGAAAGAAAAGTCATCCTTATCTCTCTCCTCCCTTCCTTTTTATGCTCCTCCTGCCATACATGCTCCATGCTAGGATTAAAATCCATGCTATTATACCAAAATGAGATCAAATCCCTTTCATTTCAGCCGCTCAATCTGCTTTGCTTTTTGCAGTGTCACAGTTAATACTGTTGGGTTTATATTGCCTGTAGTTCATTGGAGTTGGGGAGGGTTATAAGTAAAGGCAGAGAACAAATGTCCCAGTACATTAGTTTTGTTTCAGAACTTGTGACTGTAATGCCTGCAGCATGGTGTTGCTTTATGCCAATGGTGTTTGTACCAACCAGTGACTGTAGATTTCGGTGTAATGTGTTTTTCTCGCTGTTCACAAAGGGAACTGTTACAATTTCTACTTCAGATCTTTGGTCACAGAATTTCTTTTGCTGTATTAGCTACCTAAGATCATAAATCATTAAAGTGCAGACACTGAAGTCTTTGTCTGATGGATGTTTGCTTTGTAGGCTACAGAGAGTGAGATGGGAGACGTTGATTTAACAGGTCTTCCAGAAGCACCTGTAGACTCTGAAGATGAAGAAGAAGAGGAGGACGAAGACATTGACAGGACTTCTGATCCACTTCTAGGGCGAGATGTTGTACGAGAGTGCCTTGAGAAAGAGCCTGCAGATAAAACTGATGATGATATTGGTGAGGAGAAAAAAGATCTCTGTGTAAAACTGCATCATATGACATCTGTAAGAGCATATCTGAAAACTGTCGAGGGAGTTAACATTAAATGTATGTCCTCAAAATAGTGATGCCTTCCAGAAATCACTTTGCTCGAGAGATACAGTTAATTGAATGATTTCCTCTCTTCCTATCTGAAAGAGTATTTGTTCTGAGAAACTTAAGTATTTTAAAGAACAGTCTTTGAGGTGCTTGAAGTGTGAAGTATTACAGTCATTGTAGGGGTTGATACAAGAGAGGAATAGGTAGCAAGATAGTTTTAACTGCCTGAAATGGTTGAATTAGTTATTAAATGGCAGAGAGAACATACTAGTACTGCAGCACAGATACACTTAATTATAAAGGGCAAAATGTTTGAGATTAAAATGATTTACTGCAGTGTTTGACTAGAAATTGGCATTAGTTTTAATAGTAAAATTTGTATTAAGCTATACTTGAGATTACTTCTCTAAACACTGGAAAATCATTTCAAGCTCCTATCAAGCTTGTAATTACTGTACCATAAGGGTGTTTTCAATTTTTCTTAATGTTTGAAGCTGAAGTACTTTTTACACTCCAGCTAGATTGCTGCCATGAAAGTCAATCAGGGGACTGTGGAGTCAAGTTCTGGTCTTTGATGACAAAATGCATACTGGGCTCATTTAGCCAGTGGCACTAATGGGAGCTGTGACACCACTGAGCAATTTTAACATGCGTCTAACAGGGGTTTAATCCACCTGTGCAGGGTAGGGTGTCTAAGGAACCCCTGTGCCATGCAGTCTTCCTACCCATGTCTCCTTTTTCTAACAGAGCAATTACTGGAATTTATGCATCAGCTCCCTGCCTTTGCAAACATGACCATGTCTGTGAGGAGAGAACTTTGCTCAGTGATGATATTCGAAGTAGTAGAGCAAGCAGGAGCCATCATACTTGAAGACGGCCAAGAAGTAAGTTGCTGCTTCCTACGCAGGCAGTGGGTTAGCAAGGGCATGTGGGGTGAAGGGCTTGGGAAATCTGTTGCACCTCTTCCACACTTAGAAGTTAGAGAATTCTTCTCTCACCATATTCAAAATACCTAAACCTTAGCCCATCCCTTTGGGAGATTCTGCCTGTGTATTACTGTGTTACTGCCTGTGTATTAGGAGCAGTTTCCGTACATACTCAGTAGGAGGATGTCCAAATTAGTCAGTGGTCAGGCTCCTAGCATAGATGCTCTGAATCACTGTCTTGAAATCTCTGTCTGTCTTTGGATCAGGATGTCTGGAATGGCCATAGCAGGTTGCCCCCCCAAGAGGAGTAGGTAGGCTCTCATCTCTCGTAGTGACCAAATGGGTACCCAGGGGAAGAGTGTTCATTCTCACTAAATGGTATAAATGTATTGTAGCAATTAGCCCACTGATTAAAAAAGCAATCTATTCATCAGCATTCCTCCCTGCTGAATTAGTTGTGAAATGAATGAAGAACGCTGAAAAGCGTTCTTGTTTCAGTCAGCTTCATTGCTTGCCGTACAGTGCACCCTCTTAGTGAATGACATGTTGCAAAACTCAGCTGACAACAAGAATAAGCCTTTCTGAGATAAGAGCACTGGAACAGCTTCTAAAAGTTGTTGAATTAGCTTCACTTTTGAAATCTTTCTTTTTACTTCCTCCAGCTCGATTCTTGGTATGTTATTTTAAATGGCACAGTGGAAATCAGCTATCCTGATGGGAAGAGTGAGAGTCTCTGTATGGGAAATAGTTTTGGGATTACTCCCTCTCTGGACAAACAGTACATGAATGGAGTGGTCAGAACCAAAGTAGATGATTGTCAGGTAAGATTGCAGTTCTATACAACTATCTCCTGTTCTTAAGCATTTAATAAAAGGAAACAGACTACTTGGATCTTGATGCATGATCTTCATTCCAGGAGCATTAAAAAGTAGGTTGGTATGTTATGGGTCAGGGGCTCTGCTGATGTTGAGTTAGTTGTACGCTCTGTAGTGCCTGAGATTTATTTCATGCTGCTGTTATGTGAGAAACAGGAATTTGAAATATAAGCTGAGTCCACCCCAGGCATGCTGTGCATGGGATTGACATGCAGTAAGAGCAGAGAAATTGAAAATACCCATTTCCACTTCTTAGAGGCTTTCTCCTTTATATGTGTAGCCCACTTGAACCACCTTTTGGAGTTGTAAGAAGGTGACCAGTTCTATTTGTCTCCTATTCGAACTTTCTGATGTAGTTGGGCAAAACAGGCCAGATTTGGTATTAAATGCCTTTGTGACTGTGTTGAAGCAGCCCAGAGATGGGGATACATTCATGGTTTGGGTAGTAACTAACAACCCCCTGTTGTCTGGGGGCAGTTTGTGTGTATAGCCCAGCAAGACTACTGGAGGATTCTGAACCACGTGGAAAAAAACACTCACAAAGTGGAGGAAGAAGGAGAAATTGTGATGGTAAAGGAGCACAGGGAGCTGGATCGCAGTGGAACCAGAAAAGGACACATAGTTATCAAGGTGAATTTCTTTCTTTGCTTTCCATCTATCTATTTATCCCTTATTTGTTAGTAAATAAATACAATTTTGGTTTGAATCTAGAACACACACTCAGTTTTGTTCATCTCAGGTAAAACATTTGGGCTGAGAGCAGCACAAAGACTTGATTTAAACACGTTAGTATGTTTTCTCTTGACTTTGCCATAACTGAAACGTCAAAAGGGAGTGTAATGTTCATATGGTTTTACATTCAGATACTCTCTAGGGAGAGGTAGTGATGAGAGATACCAGTGATGTTTTACATTTAATTCCTTAAGGCAACACCTGAGCGACTCATCATGCACTTAATAGAAGAACATTCGATTGTGGATCCAACCTACATCGAAGACTTCCTTCTAACGTACAGAACATTCCTAACAAGCCCCCTGGAAGTTGGGAATAAACTCCTGGAATGGTTCACAGTGGACAGCCTCAGGGATAAGGTCAGTCTGAGTCTGAGAGTTGAGTATTTCAGGTGAAAATGTCTCCAAAGAGATTCCCTTTTGTAATGATGATAAACTAGGATTATGCTCCAGCTCTTTTATATGAACTGTTTTAAAGCAAAGTATTTTCACTGGTATCAAGACAGGATTCTCCAGTGTGTTGTATGTGTATAATGTAGTATCCTAAATTAGGTTTGACTACGTCTCTTCTGCAGAATGATAAATACTGTTTCTGTTTAAGTTAAAGATGTAAATGCCAGTCTCTGAAATCCCTTTTCACCAGATATTCAGGGAACTCTTGGACATACCCTTTTCCTTTTCACAGCAGCGTTATGCTTGTCTTCCATGATGTTCTACTGCAGAGCTTTTCAGTGTATTGAGCACATTTTATTTGAGCAGCTTATTGCAAACTCTACTTAAAATAAACTCTGCTCAAGACAGGTGCAGTTGATAAAAACTGGTTCTGTAAATAGAACCAGGTTCTACTGCTATATATCCATGCACATACACATGAAAACTGTTCACGGTTTGGAACTTGTATCCCTGTCCAATTTGTTGAATGTGATGGCAGTAAAGTTCCTCACCAGCGGTTTTTTGTGTTCTAGCTTTCAGCTGAAGGAAACCCAGCAGACTATCAAAATGCTGTCTTTCTTTGAGTAGGAAATTGTCAGGGGTCTTTTGCTGTGGTTACTGCTTCTCTTCTTACCTTTTTGCATGCTGTTCATCTTGGCACTACTGTCTGTTAAGAAAAGGAAAGTAAAGGAGAACTGTCTCAGCAAATAAAAGAGGAAATTGTTTTTTAGAGGAGAAACTGCAATAGACCAACCTTTGTATGATGTGGGTGGATAAAATATTTATAACGAATGGTAGTAACTGTTGCACATAGGAAAGCAACCAGAAGATTTAACTGAAAGGTTCTATTATCAAAGCATACTTCCTAGAACTTTCTTTAAGGAGATGATAAGGATGCTTTAAGAAGACAAGTTTTATAAACAGCATAAGGAAGAGTTAACTTAGAAGGTGGAATTGTGAACCAGTAAGTACTGGGTGGTGGAGACAATTAGGGATAAGATTTGTTCCTGCAGTGAAAGGAAGAGAGAAGATGATTTCAACTGTAAATGTCTTCTCCTTCTGTTTGTGAACAGATGCAGTAATCTGTCATATGTTATTCTATGTTAATCTATAAAGTTTATAGGAGAAGAATCATGGGTACACACACATGATTTGATATTTTCTTTTTCCAGGTTACCAGAGTGGTCTTGCTGTGGGTGAACAATCATTTTAATGACTTTGAAGGAGATCCTGCTATGACTCGATTCCTGGAGGAGTTTGAAAAGAACTTGGAAGATACGGTAGGAGCAAAATGGAAGGGGGTTGTACTTCCTAATAGTGCACTTCCTCATTTGCCAGCGTGTTGCCAGTCACTAACACATTGGAGTCTTCAATAGATTGCTTTTAACATGGACAAAGTGGTTCTTAAATATGTATTTAGATAGAAAGCCCATATAAAATAGTATACAGGGCACTCATTAATGTGGTTTATTTAGCAAGATTTGATTGCATGGCATCAAAAACTCCTTTTTCTGGCACTTGGGGTGTTTTTCACAACTGGTTTTTCCATTGCTAGGAAAATCGAGCTCAGTTTTATGTTGCTGTCTTTTGTGTTGCAGAAAATGAAAGGCCATCTCAGATTGCTGAATATTGCCTGTGCTGCCAAAGCCAAATGGAGACAAATTACCCTGCAGAAACCTTCTAGAGACTCACCTCTGTTCTTCAGCCTCCTTGGAGGAAGCGACAAAGGGTTTGGTATTTTTGTAGAGACTGTGGAAATGGGCAGTAAAGCAGCAGAAGCTGGGCTTAAACGTGGAGACCAGGTAAGAAGAATGAAATTCGTGTAAAATACTCTTGTTCAACCAACCATAGTGTTCTCGGCAGAAGATAATGCTGTTTGCTGAAAGCAAGCAACTGGCTAGCATCCTCTTGTGAATGGCACAGTTCAGCTCCAGTTTGCATGTGTTAAATGGGTTTCTATTAAGTAGTTTTCAAAGTACTTCAAAACCAGAATGGGAAAAGAAACCAAATTATTTTAGGGAACTTTCTGATCGGTGATATGGTTAATTTGAAGCCATCAGATTGGGTTGTTGGATCAGTTCCCACCTTGTGTGGATCATCGCTGTTCACTGAGGCTGATAGAACAATGGCTGTTCACTCTAGGTGAAGATCATAGAATCATGGAATGGTGTGGGTTGGAATGGACCTTAAAGCTCATCCAGTTCAACTCCTGCCATGGGCAGGGACACCTTCCACTAGAGCAGGTTTTTCCAAGCCCCATCCAACCTGGCCTTGAGCACTGCCAGGAATGGGGCAGCCACAACATCCAGCCTTAGATGAAATGTCAGCTCCATGGTTCATGATCCACTACTTTCGATTCAGTTGCAGTTCCCAATTGCAAGATGATGACAGAAAATAAATGTATTTAAAGAATTTGTCATGTAGAACTGGAGGTCCTGGCTTGGTCACAGGATGTAACTTCACTGACATGATGAAGCTAGTTATTTTCCAAATAATGTTTTCATCCTGCAACTGCTGTAAAGATGCTGTGTTAACTTCTAGAAAGTTCTCACTGTTCCTGTATTGTCACCTTTGTATTTGTAAGTCTGTCAAATAGTTGTTCTCTTAATAGTCCTTATCTTTATTTCTTCTTAAAGATAATGGAAGTAAATGGACAGAATTTTGAGAACATTACCTTTGTAAAAGCTCTGGAGATCTTACGGAACAACACTCACCTCTCCATCACTGTAAAAACCAACATTTTTGGTGAGTAGACTTTATATATGATGTATTTTTGTGTATGTGAAGAAAACTCCAGTGTTTCTGGCTCTAGAAGTGCATTAAGATCCCACCTTTCTTTCTCAACCTCACTCCAGAAGTTGTGCAGAAGTCCCCTCCTTGTGCCTCCGTTTCCTCGGAGAAGTTCTCATGTGCCAGGGGCTGCACGTTGGGTGGCACAAAGCCATGGGCATCTCTGTACTCCCTGAGAAGTCCCAAATGACTGTTTGAGCAGCTTTAGTGTCCCTTCATGGGATAGAGCTGAAACGGAGCCAGGGGAACCAGAGCAAAAGATTTTTTGCCAAAACCCAGCAAAAATGTGAAACTGGGCTTTGTCAACATTTTGATAATGGCTGTAAGAATGATAGGATATATTGGAAAGGGGATATAAAAAGTGATAGGACATAGAAATGTTGGCTCTTAATTGTCAGTGTGAATATAAACACATAAATACCTCTTTAAAATCTCAGTCAACTCATCTGTTCTGTTTCCATAATCCCCTTCAGGCAACAGAACCATAGCTACAGAAAGAAGGAGGCTGTGCCCAAGATAGCTCCTTCCTCTGTAGTTGTATCTGAGACTTCCTGATGGTTTCCTTCTCTCACTTTCTTCCCCCAGTTACCTGCCTTTAGTCACTATTCTTTTCAGTTATTACTTTCTGTTTATGACAGTGCAGACGAAAAGTTTCAAGGTCTGAGCCGTTGCTTTTTAATTCCAAAAAGCCTAAAACCCCACTGTAACTGGTGGTCTAAAATCATGTGAAATGACATAAAATGAGGCAGAATGGTAACTGAGACAGGGATAGATGGTTCATTTGTATTATAAATGTAAGCAGCATACACTGACAATGGATTCCAATAGCTTTGTGCTACCTGCTACGATTTCCGAGGGATTTCTCTGATAAATTTGAATGGATTCATGTCTTGAAGCTTTTGTCAACAGTGATAATTATTATCCTGTCTTTTTAATGGAGTGCTAAGCGCCTGGTGCTGACAAGGAGCAATTCCTGTTCTTATATTTCAATCTGTACTGTGAACCTCGTAGCCTTGAAATTCTACTACATGATAGAAATCAGGAATTTGACTGGGATTTTCTATACGGAAAGTCCTGGTTGTTTTGCTCATAGGGACAGTCTGAGTAATTTCCTCTGTAGGGTTCTGCGTTCTCCCAGGATCACCACGTTTACAAGAGAAAACCCTGGATTTCTGATTTATGTGATTGAAAATGATTTTTGAAAAGATCTTCAGAGAAATAATTAGAATTAATAAACCAATTTGGTCGATTTGTGTTTAATTTATTTGTGGGAAGAAACACAAAGGACATAGTCACTGTCTTCTCCATGGACTTTGATCTTTGGGATGTCAGTGTTGGTAATAGACTGGCTTACCTTGATAAATGCAATAGGAGATTTGATGCAGCTTCTGTTCAGTAGCATTACTAAAAGCAAATAAAGGCAGTTTGGGAGAATATCAGTCTGCCTTGTAGTTATCGTTGCAGAAGCATCTGCACTCCATTACGTCAAAGATGCAAACAGCACAGTCAATAAATACATAGAGCTGATTGCCATGAACATGATGTTTCCTTATAATCCACCTTGAAACAGCAGTCCAGGTCTGTTCAATTTGCTGTGATACGTGCTAATTTCAAAAGCAGTTGGGAGAACTGTGCTGTGCAGAATGTTTGATTGTTTTATGGAACATTAAAGGGATTGCTCTTTCTGCCAAGGTAATCAAAAGCAAAGCTTAAATGGGAAAAGACTCACACCCTTAGAATCAAAGCTGAAATGCAACGTATTGCCTGGTTTATAACTCTCTGGCTCGCTTTAACTGCATGGATGTGGGAAGCAAAAGGGTTGAAAGGAAAGGAGAATTCACTGTGAAGTTTTAAGTGTGCAAAGGGCAATCACAATGACTGTATCTTCTCTTACAGTGTTTAAGGAGCTGCTCTGCAGGATAGGACAAGAGAAGAACGGAATTCCACATATTCCCAAAATCGCAGAAAAGAAGAACAACCGTTACTCCATCCCAGATATGCCTGGAGATGTGGAACAGATGTTTCCTCGTGAAAAAGGCAACAAGAAGATGAAAGCAAACACTGTATCTGGTGGGAGAAACAGAATCAGGAAAATTCTGGACAAGACCCGATTCAGCATCTTGCCTCCAAAACTGTTCAGGTTTGTCACGCTTTTCTGGTCCCAAAGCAATCATTCCTTACTAAGTTATGATGTTTTAGTTGCTGAGTATCTCCAGTCATTAGCTTCATATTGCTTATATTGGGGGTTTTAAATATGGTTTTTAAACTGCAAATCTGACCCATAAATGCAGAACGAGACCAGTGACGATTTGAACACTTTCAGATATGCTTTTTGTGTGTCCTTATTCTGAAAGCCTGTCTGCAATGTGTAATTAACACATCTGAGTGCCATTACTTTTCTTAGTTTCTTAGATTCACCTCAAGATGAATCTAAGGAGTTTAATGCACACAATTGAACCCAGCCTCTTTTGCAGCGACGGGAGCGTGAGCCAGTCGCAGGACGACAGCATTGTTGGGACGCGGCAGTGCAGGCACAGCCTGGCCATCATGCCCATTCCGGGAACCCTCTCCTCCAGCAGCCCCGACCTCTTGCAGCCTACAACTAGCATCCTGGATTTCTCTAATCCTTCAGGTAAACCAGCAGCATTAGCTTGATTTACAGGATCATTACAAGGCAGCTGGTTCAGGGGGAAAATTACATCTTTTACATCTTTTAGCATCAAACACACTGAGTGCAGTTATCTCTTTATCTTGTGGCTCCAACAGGTCCAGACTGGAGCTTGTTTGTAATGTGACACTTAGCTTATTTTCACAAAGGAATGTATTTTGCTCCCTATGTGAGTCTTTGATTTACTGGAGTTTACCAGAGCTCTGATGGAAGCAGTGTCCTTGTCTGCACCTATCACTTTTGTCATCTCTTCCCAATACTGGTACTCCTGATGATTTGATTTGTGCATCCATCATCTTAAAATATATATTTCAAGCAGTATTGTGGATGGCATAGGACTGCCGTGGTACCAAGAGTGATATTAATGTCTTACATGCAATGTCAAACTTTACATAATGTATGCCTGAAAAGCTGCAGGATGTTTTGGGATGTGTGGTTTGGGCTTTCATTGCTGTTACTGTAGGAACAGTTTATATGGTGGCTGCAGGAGGCATTTATTACATGCCTGTAAATGTGGCAAGTCAGAATTGTGTTCCCCTATTTCAAGTGTAAGTTCTATGTGTAAATACATGTAAAGTGCCTTGTGGCTATGACTTAGGGTAAACTTGCAGGTTTCCCCTTTAAAAGGGATGTATGCAGATATATCCGATCAACTGCATAAATGTCCATAGGAGTTAGGTTCCCTTTTGTGCTGAAAATCCAGGTTCTTGCTGTCTGCATGAGAGTCACACACATGTTCTCTAAGAATCTTCATTTAATACTGTACAAGTTACAAATGTTGATAACTAATCCTTTACGTTTACTATATGTTTACTATAACAAATACGCTGTCACTTTGGAATAGCAGAGCAAACCAAAGTACTTGTGACAGTGCACTGCAAACACTTGATCAGTTCTGTAAACATCTAGATCTTGATTTGATGCTGATGTGGTGTTTTCTTTTTTCCTGCCCGCAGCTGTTGGGTTTTACTGTAAGTATCCTGATCTACAGCATCCTGTAGACCTTAATACTGCATGGCTTGCCTGTTAAACTTAACACTTTCATACATTGTGTTGACAATGTTATTACTGTTAGGGCAGTAAGATAGTCCTTTGCCCCATAATCTTCCCTTAAATCAAACAAACCCATAGGTTTTCTTGCCAGGCATGGTGCTGTGCTGTGGCTGAGACCTGCATTTTATTCCCATTTCTGCCACCAACACACTGATGACCTTTAGCAGTTTCCTTTGCTTCTCTGTGGCCTTGCTTTGAGGAATGAAGTTGCTTATGTCCCTTTCATGAAACTGAGATTTTAGATGATGCTGTAGTTTGAGATCATGTGTGTTCTGTTGGACTCTGTGTAACTAAAACCATGTGCATGCACACTTGAAATGTGTTTTGTATTGTCAACACAAGCTGAATAATGCAGAAGAAAATGATTATGCATATGTATGTGTATATATATATAGTTCACCTGTTTAAAAGCAAAGACAGACGTGTTCATAATAGAAATTTCCCTCAGCTGTCAGAAGTTACACTCAGTTTTGGTTGGGTTTTGTGTTTTTTCCTTTTTCCCCCCAAATTACACTGCAGTTTTTGGTTTTCCACCTTGAGTGTGTTCTGATGCTTAGGTATGTTGATACCAAGGTAGAGATGTTGGCCTCTTCTGTTGACTTGGTATGATTTTTATGAGTGCAGCATTTCCAGTTATTCAGTATATCATTTTCACTACTTTCACTCTCAAATAAGTATGTATTTCTGTCTTTTATTGCCCCCGTTCATGTATGCATGGAGCTTTTGAGTTTCAACTAGTCCCCAGCTATTAATGAGACTGTTCTGGGAATGGGATAGTCATAAGAATGAAATTGTCAATAGAATTTGGTTTCAATCAGATTGGGCTTTTTAAGCACCCTGTTTCGTCCCATCTTCCAGTTTAGCTACAGGTGATGCTGAGACTTTCTTTTTTCCAGTGGGTAGAAACTGTTTTGGAGGCTGTTGCTGTAATAACAGCTCTTCACTTCTCTCTCTTGGAATTGCTGATCCAGGAGTTTATGGCACGTCCAGCCTGGTTTTTGAATAGCATCAGGCTCTGGAGAAGCCTGAGCCTCCCACCTTCTTGGGTCTGCAGAGAACTGCTGAGGTTTTAGTCTTCAGAGTTTAGGGAGGGTAGGAAACTGGTTCCCTATGTTTTAAATCAGTGCTCACTCTGCCTCTTGACTTGATTTCCCCATCAGTTTTATTATGAAAATCAAATCTTCTGTAATGGAGCAAATTATTTCCAGTCATCGAGCTGTAGATGAAACGTGTGTTTCTTCACATATTTATTTCCTGCTGTAGGCTGCCTCGGAGAAAGCTGCTCTCTAATGCATTTATAATACATGAAATGTGCTATAAATAAGTACACTAGCCAAAGAATTAACTGCTGGCAGCAGCTTAGTTCCTTCAGGGTGAGATAGTGAGTGTAAAAGTTTGCAGCTAGTTATGGGAACAACCAAATTTCCTTTGCTCTTCCCAGCCTCCTGTCTGCAGCCCGTCCATGCATGCTCCATGGCTTCCCATCCCCGGGAAAAGTGCCCTGGCACGTGTCTCACAAAGACAGAAGAGCCAAAGAAGGAATAAATGATGCTGCCAATGATTCTGAGACACGCTGAGAAGGGCAGTGTGCAGCTTAGCAGTGTATCTAAGAGCCTTGTGCTTCAATTGTGGTTGTGGGATCATAGAGTTGTGGAAATGCAGGGAGGAGCAGAGTCCTCTTGTTTGCTTCTCAAAGCTGAATGTTTTAATGCATATTTATCAAAGCCAGCATGGCTTTTTTTTTTCCCCTGCTAGCTGGTTTTTTGTTTTCTGGCTATCAAAAGAAGCAGTAAATGACCTCGTTTCTTTTCAAGGGAAAGGTACCTTCACACATTAAAGGTGTTACTCTGTTATTTCAGATATTCCGGATCAGGTAATCAGGGTTTTCAAAGCAGATCAGCAGAGCTGTTACATTATCATCAGCAAAGACACTACAGCAAAAGAGGTGGTGAGTCACGCCGTCCACGAGTTCAACTTGACAGGGGCCCCTGAGACCTACTCCCTCTGTGAAGTATCAGTCAGCCCCGAGGGGGTCATCAAACAGCGGAGGCTCCCCGATCAGTTCTCCAAGTTGGCCGACAGGATTCAACTCAATGGACGGTAAAAACGCGCCTCGTTTTAACTTCGATTGGGATTCATTTGCTTTTTAGGATTGAAACATCCATAAGATCCCATCGCATTCAGGGAGAGGTCATAGAACACCAGATTAGAAGGGACCTCGGGGATCGGCTGGTCCAACCTTTGTGGGCAAATCATAACCTAGACTGTATGTCCCAGTGCACTGTCCAGTTGAATCTTAACAGTGTCCAGTGTTGGTGAACCCAAAGCCCTCTCCCCAAATCTACAGCAGCTGCTCGATGACAACTAAATATAGCAGTTTGGGATAACACATATATGGTGGCTTACACTGAAAAAGGAGAAACATCTTTTCTGACACTTTCCACATGTAGTTCAGGATTAAAACATACAATTGCTTTCTCAGTGATGTCATGTTGCAGTGAACTGATGCTAACCTGAGATAAATTCTTCCATTTCTGTGTAAACTGTTATGAACGTTTCTTGCATGTTAAGTGCTTCGGTTTTATCTGATGACCTGGTCCATACCAGAAGAAAGTTTATTAACTAAAAAATACTTCAGTTGTCTTTGCTAGGCAACAGAGGGGATTTATGAGGAAGAAACTTTGGTGTACCTGAAAGTGATCTGCTTGGGACCATGGAAATGAATTTTCCAGATACATTTTCATTTCCTCAATACTGTGTGCTTCATGCAAATAGTAATATGCCACACTATTTGTGTAAGAAATCCCACTAAATTTGTGTGAGAAATGGAGAAATACATTAACAAGAGATTTCTCATGACTTATGTGTATTTAAAATTTTACTTCACTGCTGAATTTACGAATGGCAAAGTAAGTGAGCTTTTTCCAAGGGTGAAAGATACAGTATTATGGAGAATGAAACAGAAGATGCTAGCAAAGAGGTAGATAAAACCAGCTTTGGAAGTGGTTTTTTACCTCAGTAATGATGATACCTTATACTAAAGTGCAAGGTTATGCTGTCCCTTCTTGTCTCTGTCTTTCCCTTTTACCCTGTGTTGTCAACACTAGCACACAAATACTTTCACATAAGCACTCCAGTGGTGTCAGTGATGTCCAGTTTGAGTGGTGCAGTTCAATGCCTTTGTGTTTGCAAACCCTCTGAAGCACATCTCTAATGTTTTGTTGTAACTCAATTATTCTCTAGGTATTATCTTAAAAACAATATGGAGACAGAGACCTTGTGCTCTGATGAGGATGCTCAAGAGCTGCTAAGAGAAAGCCAGATTTCCCTCCTGCAGCTGAGCACCATTGAGGTCGCCACTCAGCTCTCCATGAGAGACTTTGAACTCTTCCGCAATATTGAGCCTACAGAATACATCGACGACCTTTATAAGCTGGACTCCAAGACAGGAAATGCTCACCTGAAACAGTTTGAGGATGTCATCAATCAGGAGACCTTCTGGGTTGCCATGGAAATTCTAGCAGAGCCCAACCAACTCAAGAGGATGAAGATTATTAAGCATTTCATTAAAATTGCCCTCCATTGCCGAGAATGCAAGAACTTCAATTCCATGTTCGCAGTTATAAGGTAAAACGCTTCCATTTGTCAGATCTGGTTTGTGCTGTCAAAGGCAATTCTGATAATATAACTGGAAAGAAAAGAAATAGGTTTATGCTGAACAGATCACTGGTGGCACGGGGTGGTTGGAGGGGAATTGCCAAGCTTTTCAGAAGGCAGACTGTACCAAGAGGTGCCTTGTCGCTGCCATCTTTTCCTTCCTCCTCCTCAGAAGTTTAGTGCATCTTGGTGCTTGATGTGACTGTCTCTATTTTAACCGTTACCTAGCAGGCAAAGAGAAGAGTTGGACAAGAGCAGTGTTTGATTGATAACTTCAGAAACCTGCCTGAGCACTGCTGTCATTTCCATTCTGGCACCCCATTTCCCTTCTTTGCTCGGTCGCTGTTGCCGTGTCAGTGTGCTCCGAGTTGTATCTGTGATTATGGAATTACTTTATTTCTTCCTTTCATTGTAAGGACTTCCTCAAATCACTCTGGTTTTAGTTACATTTTCCTTTCCATTCTTTCCTGTCATCTGCTCCTATCAGTAGATAGGGAAATCTGTTTTTATTTCCCTCTCCATTTGCACACTCAGACTTTCTCTTCTGTTTTATACTAGATGCTGCTACTTTAACAGCATGAGTTCAGCAGTTCCTTTCTTTGCAATTATCTTATACCCAGGTTTTACTTTAAGAAAGAAAAATAAAGGTGCTGTGATTCATCAGGCAAAGATTTGGATTCTTGCTGTATCCTAGCATCTTTGAAAACACCAGTTTTAACAGTTTTCTTCCATGTCTAGCCAGTTTCTTGAATGCTGTTGCCTTCTGTTTAGTCATACATTAAATAATGAATGAATCTCCTTAAAGGGCACTGGGCAGCCGTTGGGGCTGGGGCTGCTCATTACATGGTGAATACACATGTGGATAGTGAATCTAATTTCTATATTCTGCTCCCTAATTCCTCGTCATTTATTGTGGGTGGAGAAGTGACTCTTCCTGCTTCTCAGTTAACTCTAATCAGGCCGTGACTGAACTGGTCTTTGGTCATAAAAAGAAGTCAATAAATTAGGTTTTGTCTTGCCCTGGTTTCCAGAGGAATATGTTGTTGTTAGCATATGCCACGGGGGTTCTCTTGCTTGTCTTGCCTTGCATATCAATATGGTGCCATATGTTTCACGAAATAGAAAGATAACCATCCTAATGTAGCATGTAAAAGAGGGGGGCTGCGTGGTGGCATATGCCTGATTTTTCATGTGAGAGAAGGCTTTGTTTGTGAGTTGACAATAACACGGGGAGCAATCTCTATAAAAGAATAAAGAAAACACAAAGTAAGTTTCTGAAGCTTTCAAGATCTTAGAATAGTAGATTTGTTGTGTGATTCTGGACTTACTGGTGAATGCTAGGAAATGACACTTTCCAACTCAGCTACAAGGTGAGCATTGCAGAATTCCATGAGCAAACTGGGTGACAAATTCTAATAGGGAGGATGGATCTGTTTCCTTTATTTTAATTTGCTGTACACATCCAACTGATTCTGGATGTGTTTTTACTTAATGAGAGCGCAATGACAAGTTTTAGCATTGCTGCTGCTTCTGATTCTCAGTCTGTTGGTGCTCATTTACAAATGCTCCAAACATGGTCCTCTGCAGTCCTGCCTCTTTTGCTTGGGATAAGCTGTGCACTGTTCTCGCTTGCCACTGTAGCTGTGTATTCACCTCATTAATTCTCCACCCTTTTGTCCTTGTTGTGGTACATGTTTTTACAGGAGAGAAGTGGGGCTTAAATTGAACGGGCACCAGCCCTGTGTTACGGAGGGATTGTTTTGGCAGGCTAACTAAAAACTGGTACCTTGTGAATAGGAAGCAGTCACGGTTTTTACAGTTCTCTTTCTCTTGCTCACAAGAGTGAGCAGCAGAGGTTTATTGTGATCAGCTTGCAGCCTGGCTTTCACCCAGCCTTACTTACAGTGAGCCTTGTGAAAAGCTGTTTTTAATCCTTAAAACAAACCCCAAGCCCTTTGCTTCCTTTTGAAAGGTAACGATTCCACTAACAGCTAATAATGAAACAAATCTGCCTTCCAGTGGGTTAAATCTAGCACCAGTAGCACGTCTCAGAGGCACTTGGGAGAAGTTACCAAGCAAGTACGAAAAGCACCTCCGAGACCTTCAAGATCTCTTTGATCCATCTCGAAACATGGCAAAATACCGCAACATCCTCAGCAGCCAGAGCATGCAGCCTCCAATTATTCCACTTTTTCCTGTTGTCAAGAAGGATATCACCTTTCTGCATGAAGGTAATGTCAGACACAAGAGAAATAACAAACTGAGCACTGAATATGCTTTAGCCCTGATTCAACAGATGCTTAAAAGAAGCTGCCACCAGTAGGATGCTTTTGATGCGTCCTTTGTAGGAGTAAAACAAAATAGAACTGTGCATGAATAATGGAAGAGGCTGTTCCTAGACAGAAATTAAAAATTAAAAGTGTATTTTTAATATTTTAAAAGCAATGCTTAATCTTCATCAGGTGGCCAAAGGTTTAGGTGGAACAGTAGATGAGTGCTAACTGGTAGCTACACTGCTTCAAGTATATACTCCTCTTACAAGAACTCGTTGCTGCGGCGTTTCTAGGATTTCGTTCCATGTTGTGGCTTTCAGGCAGCTACAATGATCTAACACCTCCTACTCCTGCTTTCAGTGTTTTCAGTGGCTTTTGTTTAAACGTTTCCATTTTGTTCCTTTTACACAAGGTTCTGTTCACTATTGGTTAAGTTTAAGCATTTCCAAATACGCCCAATTCTTGGTTGTGATGTTTCAGAGCTGTTTGGACTAACTTCAGAATGTGAACGCTGTTGGACGTCAGTGCTATTAGGCAGAAGCTCTCCCCTGTGAGGGTGCTGAGGCGCTGGCACAGGGTGCCCAGAGAAGCTGTGGCTGCCCCATCCCTGGCAGTGCTCAAGGCCAGGTTGGACACAGGGGCTTGAAGCAAGCTGCTCTAGTGGAAGGTGCCCTTGCCCATGGCAGGGGCTGGGAACTGAATGAACTTTAAGGTCCCATCCAACACAAACCAGTCTGGGATTCTATATATTATTTAATCACCTATGCTAGTGAATTTGGGCATAATTCACTTACTCTTTTTTCCTCTTGCTAATGCTTGTTACTTTAGAAATAGATTAACAAAACCAATACTAGAGTGGACCATTTGTGTTTTGCCATTAGGGCAGTTTTCGTGATGGAGGGACAAGGATCGGGTACTGTGAGTGACTAGAAACACATTGCCTGTTAGAAAGTGTTTCTGACTCTTTGTTTGGTTTTTTACTTTCTTTTCTTATGTGTGTGTTTCCATTATTCAGGAAATGATTCCAAAGTGGATGGCCTGGTGAACTTCGAGAAGCTCCGAATGATTGCCAAGGAAATTCGCCAAGTTGTCCGAATGACCTCGGCAAACATGGATCCGGCCGTGATGTTCAGACAAAGGTGTGCACTTTACAGTAGGATTGAAGGTGTCTGGGCTGGGTGGGGACCTGGGGCTGTGTGTGCATCAGTGCCTTTGTGTTTCATGGTGTAACTTCCCATTGACATTTACATCAGAACCACAGTCTTGGTCAAATTATGGCAATACAATTGATGCTTCTGAGACCTGCTTTTAATAACCACTGAACCAATTTGCTGTCTTTAATAAGGAAAGAAGAGTAGGCTCTAAATTTAATGATTCACATTTTTGCTAAATAAAATGTTAGTGTCAGCAGAGTTTTGGGAGAAGTATAATATTAGGGGAATATAACATCTGTATATGATAGATATAAAAAGCACCTAAATCAGCCATGTAGATGTCTGAAACGCTGCTTCAAAACCCCACTGATAACATATTAAACCCAAACAAAGTATTTTTATTTGTTCTAAGCACAGCTTGCTCCGCCTACATAATGTGTGATATGTTCAGGCTGCAAGCAGTGGAGGGGGTTTGCTTGGTTTATTTTTTATTGGGGTTTGTGTTTTTCTCCTGATGCATAATATCACCAGGCTCCGTGTTGGCAAACTGGGGAATGAAAGCACCACAGCTTCTAATCTGGTGCTCATGAGCTCCAGTTTATACTCACTGGAGCTAAATAATGTCCTGCATCTCTTGAAAAGCATCAGGGACTCTCTTGTGTCCATGCAGGTCCTGATACCTGCACATCCCTGCTAAGGAGGGTAGTGGTGCCTTGCACTGGCCTTGCACTAATGGGCCAGACAAAAATCCTTCGGGATGCAGTTGGGAGTTGGTGACAAGGTGATGTCCTCTGCTGAATCACGTACCACAAAATGAGCTTTGTACAAGCCCTAACTAAATTCCAGTCGATAGGTCACCTCCGAGTTGTAATCCTCTTGGATTTATGAAGTCAGTTACATCAGTGCAGTGGAAGGAAATATCATATGCAAGGGTACATGGCATATATAAGAGCACTGAGATTTGGCTCCCTGTGGGCTTCCAGAGGTAAGGATTCACAGGTGATGGTGAATCATGTTTGCAAGGCTGACTGTCAGGAAATAAAGGCATTTTGTTTAAAATGGGTCCAGTTGAGTTTTGAGACAAAGATAACAGATCCCTGGTAATGTTGTTTGAAGATGGATCTGTTTCACAGTGGAGATTCATCTTCATACCGTTGGATTTGAATTAGCAAATTCCCTCTTTAACATAAAGTTATACAGCTACTTACTGGTCAGTTAGGACTGCTTTACAGAATCTTTCCCATTCACAGATGAAATCAGCCTATAAATAAATTTCCCTGATGCCCCCATACACTTTCTACAACCTAATGAAGTCTGATCATTAAATGAGTTTAATAGTAAATAGTTAGCTTTAGTGTGTTTTTCACAATTACACAACACATTTTAATGACCATCATTTAAAGGATGCACACTGACATAAAATGCTCAGGCATCTAATACCAGAGATAGTGCCAAAGATTAAAAGAAAATAAATCCACATTTTCAACATCATTTATATTCATTTTCATTGCCTCTGGTGTTTGATCTATCAGTTTGTGTTCTGAAGCACCAATAAATGCTTTTGAAGATTAAAAATTAACAAGAAAAGATGTTTGTTAGTGGCATCATGAGACTTGCTGGCGAGTTCATTACCGATTAATATAGAGCATCTACTTTTTCACCATGTATTTGGTGACTAGCTTGTTTTCCAGCAAGCAGTCAAGGGAAAACAGCATCATAAACTTGAATACTGATGGTTTCTCATTCGCTTACTCCAGTGCTAGTGCAAAGATCAAATTAATTGAAGCACACTTTCTTCACTTTGAGTAAGTTGAACCGTTTTGGCTCGCTCCATCCAAACTGAATTTGTCTTAGGGGAAATACTTAACAAGGAAACTTAATGGGAGCTTGGTTTTTAAATTCAAAGGTTAAACTTGAAACAGAAAACTGATAGATGTTCTTCCCTGTTGAAGTGTTTGTGCAAGTCCTGCCCTTGCATTCCATTCCAACATCGTGTTCTTGTTCAAGAACAATTTTGCCGTATAGAAACTCTTTCTTTTCTGTTCTTTCCTGTCTACATCTTTCTTCCTGACTCTCAACTGTTTTATTTTTTTCCTGTGCTTTTCTGTTCAAATACATGCTTCAATGTATATGGCTCTTGCTTACAGGAAGAAGAGGTGGAGAAGTTTGGGGTAAGTGTAGAGATGAATGCAACTAAGATAAATAAAGATTATGCAACTCTTAACATACTGCATCCTCCTCCTTAGTGCATGCATCTGAAATACAGCATGCATTTTATTAACCCTGCAATACATGTATTTTGGAAACCAGGAATAAGAGGTTACAGTCAACATTATACTGCAGCTATGAGAATTCTGAGTTGCTTTTATGTATTGGATAAGTTACTTGAGTTTTGGCTTTATGCATATAAAAACCCCTGCTGTGCAGTTGTATTGGTAGGCAATCTATTTTGGGAAATAAATAACTTGCTTTTTAACATGTAACGGAACGGTTTAAGCCATTTTGGATTTTAAACTATGAGGACGTTATGAATTGTGATAATGATATGGTGATATCCCCCCCTGAAGTTTGAGTTCAAGCTTCAAAGCATTTATTTTTAGTATATATTTAAACTGTATCTCACATTTCAAACATCTAAATCCTCCTTGACTTTCCTCGGAGTCTTGATTGCGCAAGGATTGAATAATGAAATGACTACAAGTGAGAGTGCTGAGATACAAAATTCCTGACAGACACACGGCAGTGATTTTAGGAAGACATGTAGCCATATTTTAGGTGTTCTTATGTGTCTTTTTGACCATAAAACTGTTACTTGTGTACCTGAGCCTATGTGCCTTTGCACTTTGAAATTGTACTTCTGTTTATGCATCTGTTTTAAAGCCAGCTGTGTGTTAGTATGTTGACGTTGTGCCTACAGGATGGAGTCAGGGATGCTCCTGGTGCTTTTCCCTCCCTGCCATCACTTTGCACTCTCAGGGAATCCCAGTGTGGCAATTCAGTTTGTTATCTATGAGTATTCAGGTGCTTGAGTGCAAAGAACAGATTCACCCCTCCAGCAGTGATGGGGACAGTGCCAGAACTTGTGCTAGAGGAACCCAGGTTTGGGTACAAGTCCCTGATGCGAAATCAGTTGGGTGGTCGGTAATCACCCACTCATGGTGTACAGCACCTGGGGGGAATCCCTTAGACCCAGCTGGAGTTGTTTCTAGCCCTTGGGATTACTGGGAACACAAGGGAATAAAGGAAAAATCATTTGTAAAGGAAATTGGATTAAATTGCCTTAGAAAGACAAGTAAGTCCAGACTTAAAAGCACTGTGTATGTAAGCAATAAAATGTTTATACCATTAAAAATAAGGATGATGTAGTATATTATTTCATCATATAATAGTTATTAGCTCTGTTCTTACCTGGAGGAGGTGGGAGTGCCCCTTGGTTGAATAGCTGTGAACAGTCCCTCATGCCTTTCGCTGCTCTTTGCCTGTAATAGAATTTTTCTGTAATTAAGCTATAAATTTCTGCCAGTTTTAGGTTTTTTGTTTGCTCTTGGATTGATTGATCATCTTTGAAAGTATTCCAGGCTTGATTTATTTCTCGTCTTCAGACATCCTGCAGTCAGCTGTTCCCCACCATCTCTTCTTTTTAAGCTCACTGTGCTTGATTCCATAGACTTCCTCTAACAAGATGTTTTGTTCTGACTCTCTTGGTTATTGTGCTGGAGATGGTTTATTCTGCCACTCGTGATTCTCTGAATATATCCGGGATCTTGATAAACAGAGAATTTACCCTTTAAAAATGAAGTTATTCCTCCAAATGTTTAAAAAAAGCCCCACAGCCAACCAACATTGAACAACTTTGACCCTTTCCATTAGAATTTACACTAAAAAATTCATTGGACTAGTGTGACCAAATGACTTTGCCAGTTGAAGTGGAGGTGATGGGTATGTTTGAAGTATACCAAGATCAGTTGTTTGGTCACTCTTTCAGTGTGAATAGGAGTGACTGTCAAAGAGAGTGATGGATGCTGACAGTTTGGGCATTCTTTCTTTTTGCTTCAGTTGCTGATAGAATTGGCAGCTCACAAGTAGGAGTATTGGGAGCATCATTTCAATAGATGCAAATCGGAACATACCTGTATTATCACTGTCTTCCTGACCTTTGCTAGGTTACATTTTATTAATGAGCTGCTCTTCTGCGAACGTTCTTACTGAGCTGCAGAAGGAAGTTAAGTATTTAATAAAATGTACTTGGCACAATTAACACATTTTCCTTCTTATTTAAACACTGTCAGAAGCTGTTTCCTAAGAGGATTACAGGAGTCACTCTTGTACTCAGCTAATTGCCAGAGGTTCCTCCTGTAAGCTGATGCATACAGTGGGTACCAAGTTCCTTAAACCAACACAGTTACCAGGTCTGTCCGCTCTTGCCATCTGCAGTTGACATAGGTGGGTCTTGCCAAGCAAGAGCTACATGGGTCCTATATGCAGCATTGTGCCTCGTTCTTCCTAGTCCCACACTCTTTCTAGACTCAAATTGCTGCTCTCAGTTTCCTAGAGTATTTTAAGACAAGCATTGTTTTAATGCTGTTCATCTTTTTAACTCATTTGCATCAGCATGCACTAGCCCTAACTGAAGATTATTGGCATTAAACTGCTTTGGCGTGTGCTACTGTAGCTCTTTGCCACTGTTGAGACCTGAAAGTTGACTGCTTTGCTCCTGTCTCTTGTAGGTCTCTGAGCCAGGGCAGCACAAACTCGAACATGTTGGATGTACAGGGAGGTGCTCACAAAAAACGGGCCCGGCGCAGCTCGCTCCTGAATGCCAAGAAGCTGTACGAGGATGCCCAGATGGCCAGGAAGGTGAAGCAGTACCTGTCCAACCTGAACGTGGAGACAGATGAGGAGAAGATCCAGATCTTGTCACTTCAGTGCGAGCCTGCATATAGCACGTGTAAGTACAGCGATCTGGAATGGTGCCTGCCCCATCCCTGCCAGTGTTCAAGGCCAGGGCTTGGAGCAGCCTGCTCTAGTGGAAGGTGTCCTTGCCCATGGCAGGGGTTGGAACTGGGTGAGCTTTAAGGTCCCTTCCAACCCAAACCCTTCTGTGAGTCTGTGATCTATGAGATATATAAGAAAATACTTGTTCCTTCCTTAGATATACTCATTTAAGATCTTTCTCTTCTCCCTTCCAAGAAAAAGCCCTCTCATAAGTGCTTGTTTGTCAATTCATGTGCTGACAGTTACAACAAGCTGGCATTTGTCTTCAGATCTTGGCTGAAGTCAGAAAACTTTGGTGATGTTTTGTATTTTGACCTTTAGTTCTTAAACTGTGTGTCTTCTCATCAGGCTGGAAGGAAATTCAATAGTACATTAGCTCTGTTCTTGCCCTGTTGTCCTTGTAGAGAATTAGGAAGGATAAAAGTAACGTTTACCATATGAACAGCAAGAAAATGAAAAGAGACAAAATCAATATAGAAACTGCAATGGATTACAACTTAGAATAAATGAAGATTGTTGAGAAGGAGAAGTTAGGTCAATATTGACTGATGGGATTGACATGACTTGACAGTCAAAAACTGAGGGCTGCAGCAGGAGTTTCCGTAACTCGAACTTGTGTGCAACTGCCTAAGTAAAGAAACTGTTACTGACCTGCTGGCTTACGCAGTTGAGTACATTCACATTTAGAAATGAGAAATGGTAATCTCATTTCATTTTGATCCATAGAAATTTTCACTCGCTTGAAAGGTCGCTTTGTTTCACAATAGAAGAGTAGAAACCTTGCTAATCAGAATAATGTTTCATGCTTGTCTGCTGCCCACATGTAGCATTCTAGGGCTTTTTTTTTGTCCTCCAACACCATTTTGTCTCTGACATGAGAAGTTGAAAGCATGAATAGGAGATGGCATTCTGAAGGTAAAATTTTAAGTCCTTTCCATTATTTACTGTTAAGAATGCAAATCCTTATTATTCCCTCAGGTGCCTTCCTATGCAATTGGTTTTTAACATTTCCTTTTAAATAGCACTGATGCAGGCATGGTGGAAATGGCCGTATTCAAACTGTTAAATTCTGTGTTGTCACACTGGCTGTATGCCTGAAGTCACCAGAAATCACAGGTTCCCTCTGGACTGGAAGATGCACAGCATCATCCCTTGGCAGTGGATGTGCTTGTGCTGCGTTCAGCCAGATACGCCATAGCACAGAATGTTCCTGCTCAGAGGTAACACCACTGTGGGTTTTATGCTTTACACCCCCACTGACACAATAAATTAAAGCGTGCCAGGATGAACTCTTGGTAGATGATCTATGTGCAAACATAACTGTGGCCATACTATGCCCAGGAGACAAACATAAATGTGACGAGGTTGGTTTTCAATTGTTCTAAATAAATCATTGAAAACCTTGTTTGCACAGTGCTAGCTATGGATATTTGGAAGTAAAACCAGGGAATAAATAGTGAGTGTTCTACCTTGTGCAGTTCAGTAATCAAGTCCTTTTTTGTCTTCACCTTCAAAAAAGGAAATTGGAGGTTAAGCAGATATACAAATAAATGGATGTTATTGAAGTGCCTGTCTTTAAAACCTGAGGAAAACAAAACAAACCTCAGCAGATTGGGTTTGTGCTGATGGGGTTTTTTGCACATTTCCAGAAGAGAAGAGCTCCCCAGTCTCTTATCTCAGCAGTAAGATTCTCCCAGCCTTGCTTGCAGAAGGAGTGAGCAGCGGTAATGCTGCACTCCAGACTTTTCCAAGGGAGTTTAAGGAGAATTCTGATGGTCTTACCTTCAGAGTTTGTTAATTGTTGTGTGATTAAAGTAGAAACTGCATCAGTGCTGTGCTGTAAATCAATTGTGCCACCTAGTGAAAGCTTTGATGCCAGTTGCAAAACAACCATTCCTCCCTTCAGTAGCATGACGTAAGCTTGAAGGAGATGCTGTGAGGCTTTTGCATCTTATGTGCAAACATCTAAAATATGGACCTACGGTAGAAATGAATCATATTTTGGGGCTTTGATAAAATGTCTGTATGACACTTCAAAGAGTTTAGTTTTTTTTAATGCCATTTCATGCAGCAGCCTCTTAAGTGTAACAAGATCATAGAACGATTTGAGATCACAGAATGACTGAGATGGTGAAATAGGTGTGTTTGGAATAGAAATGGTTTCAATTAAGTTTTATCTTATTTATACTGTGGTTGCTTTGTCTGGGTGATTGTACTCAGAGTGACTGTAATAATCCTGCAATTCAAAGTGCAAGATACTTACATGCAGTTTCTCTATAACACAGTGACAAAGAATTTAAGTGAGAGAAGAGGAGGGAAATCCTCCGAAATGTCTCCAGTACCCATGAGGTCAATTGGGCAAACCGCTAAAGCCCATCAGCATCAACAGAACAGGATGAGTCAAGTTCTTCAGGTTCCAACTGTGAATTTATACCCCAGTAGGAAGAAGGGACTGACAAAGGAACACGTCACGTTCAGTGAGTATCTGTCTGGATAGGCTCAGTAACTAAAGAGCAGGGGGCTATCTTAACACCTCTCTCTTGAACGGGTCACATGTACCATGTTAAGTCTTACACTGTGTATTTCTGCATTCTGAAGGGATCTTGCACAGCCAAAGTAGAACAACATTGCTTGTGTGATTTTGTTACAAAATTAAGTATAATCTATTGAGGTGAAATTATTGAAACAAATTGCAGAGATTTAATGTTTTAACCTCTGGAACAGCATTTTAACAACTTTATTGACCAGTGGAGCAACATGTATTATTAGTTGATGCTCCTATTTAATTCATTAATGATCCTAGTGAGCATCAGGTTTTTTCTGTCCCTGAATTTGCTAGTTGCAAAGCAGTATTATGTATTAAAATACTTTTGACCTGTTTGCATAACTGTTGTATTATTTGAAAGCTACAACTGTGGGTTATGTAAACAGTTAGTTGCAGTCAGTAAGTGATATGAAATGATTCTATGATACATTGAGTATCAATATCCGCTTCAGGAAACAATCTGTTGCAGCATACTGTGATACTGTGATACAGAAGAATAGTATGCACCAATGGCTCTGTTGTTTTCATAGGCACAGGTTCCCCACAGAAGTCATTAAGCTTGTCTGAGGAAGTAAGTAGTAAGAAACAAACAGATGACACAATGTCCATGGCATCTTCTTTGCACTCCAGCCCTCCTGCTTCCCCTCAGGGCTCTCCACGCAAAGGTATGTGTGCTGGGTGAATATTCACTGTCAGCATCAGTCTCAGGAGCTCTTGCTTGTGTTGCACTAAAACCAGGGTGGGCCGTGGCAGGAGTATTTATTGCTAATGATATGTAAGAGAAATAAATAGTAGTTTAGGATATTCTTCATATTAGAAGATTTAGAATAAGAATCATGTCTTTCTATGAATAGAAATAAGGTTTTCAATGTGCTTGTATGTTTTGGCCTTAAAGCCACACAGTATTTAAAAAGAGGAAAAGTTGTCTTAGGAATTGCTTAAGTGCTTCTGACAGAACTCCCAGTAGTTCTTCAGTTCCAGCTTATCGGCTCAGATTTAGGTGGCCAATTACATGAATGGGGTTCATAGACCTGGGCATTTCTTGAAGACAGGTGTTGCACAGAAACAGGTTGCTGAGACACCGTATGGTTTTGCTTTAGGCACCTGGAATATCAGATGGGTAGGTGGAACTGGAGAGGAAATGGTTTTGTAGCTCTCCAGAAGAGACGGTTTTCTGCAAAAGCAGTGCATCCCTCTAATCCTTGAGTTGTTACTCATACTTCTTGTTCTTGTGCACAGGGCTTTGTATACATCCCTGTTTATCATGATGCCCTGAGAACCCCTTTATTTTTGATGTCTTCGTCTTAAAAGACCTGCATCACTTCATCATTAGCAACCTTGGATGGGAATTCAGTTGAAATCTGTTAACACCACTTTGTAGTCAGCCCGTGTGGTCAGTGCTGAACGGTGTAAGGCATTTCTCCCTCTCTTCTGTGCTGCTTTGCCTCACTGACAGCCCAAAGCCACAGGATTGGCATGGCACGGCATGGTGGCTTACTGCACCTTCTCACCCTTTTCAGTGGGAGATCATGCTGCTCCGTCCACTTCTGCCTTCACAAGATACTGTTTCCTTTAGGAGAATGCCACTTATTTTACTTAAGCACAGCATATGTATAAAAAGCTTAATTACTTGGGCTGCCAAATCTCAGTTCCACTGAGATTTCTGAGCATTGCTTACGGATATGTTATTTTTGTTAACTTTCATCTGGGTCTTTGAAAAAAATGTTTTGTTTCTTTGGGATTATTTCATTAATTCAACTTGCTTTCAGTATATTTTTAGCACTGATGTAATTTGAGGTGATCCGTACCCTGTTGTATGGGTAGTGCTAACACCTCATTGAACTAAAATTAGGTGCTTCACAGACAGCTGAAAGACACAATTTAGGCACAAACACGTTCCACTTAATCTTATATTTCATTTTCTTTTGATCTATACCCAAGTGATATGCAAATAGGATTGAAGATAAAAGCGTTTAAAATCGGGAGATTGTTTTTGCTGTTACTTCTCACTGATCGAGACGTGCCTGTGTGTACTTTATTGCAGTTGGTAACATCCAAAGGTCGGATAACAGCAGTCAGTTGAACCTCTCTGGCTCTTCCTCATCACTCGCCAGTGAAGCCAGCAACAAGAACAGTGGACAACGCAGCTATGGAATAGGTGGGGCTTATTTGCAAAAGAGAATTTGGATGATTGTGAAAGCAAGAGACAGTTCAGACATGAGAGAAAAGGGAGAAAGAGAAGCTGAGCGTGAAAAGGCAGAAGCTGAGCATGGAAAGGCAGAAGTTGAGCATGGAAAGGCAGAAGCTGAGCGTGAGCACAGGAGAACGGAGGGACCCCAGTTTAGAAGACTTAGGGAAAGAATCTTCTCCAGGGAAAGAACAGCTTTTACTGCCAAAAGGGAAGCAGAGCACACTGGAGCCTCAGAAAGGAGTGAAAACCAAAAGGACAAAGACAGTGATGCTCTGAGCATAGCAAGTATCTATAGCAACAGCAATCTGTGGACATCTTACTGCCTCTGCGTGAAACCTAGAAGGAGAAGGAAGACTATATGATGTATTTCTAGAAGGAAGACTGTGATGTCCATGTTGTGTCAAATGTCCTCACTTTATCCCAGTTATTTCAGAGTTCTTCATTTACATGCTTAAGCTGTTCAATGTGCTTCCCTTTCAGATATTTGTGTCAGTTATTTGTAGTTTATCAACCTTACAGTGCAGTGAAGACAATAAAGTGAAGTTTAGAAAATCAAGGCACAGGTACAGTGACAGTTCCGTTACTTAGTGTTTGCAAATGCCAATGAAACAGTAAGTTCTGCAGCATTCTCTTAATTAGACTCTAGATAGTCCTTCATATGATGTAGATCAAATGCTCACTTCCAGTGTTGGTGTGTATTTGCATTGATCACATCTTCTGCTGACCTTTTCAGCCCAGCAAGGACTGCATTTAGTCTCTTTATATACATGTGCTGTTCTTTAACAACCCAGCTTTCAGATAGTGTTAATCTCTTTCATGAAGAGCCCTTTTGTAAGTTCTTGATGAAGAGTAGCTTAAAATGAAGATAATACCGATACTACATGCTCATATTTGCTCTTAAAATCTTACAGCAATATTGAAGCTTAAACTGTGGAATCTCTTGAATGATGAGCTGCATGCTCAGTGGCATGTATGCCAGTGGCTCCAAATGCCATATTAAGAGATCTCTGTATTTTTCCTGTACTGAATGGCATCAATCTGCTGTATTCAGTTGTGTGTATCGCTGCCATGGCTCTTAGGCTGCCTTGTCATTTCACATTTTCACCTGATTGATGTAAATATATGGCAGTCCAGCTAAAAGGCACATGGAGGTAGAAAAGAAGTGAGAAATCAGCAGGGATTGGGGGGAAAAATGCTTATCTGAATGCTGTGTCAGCAGTGTATTAATGTGGTCTCCTGTAAAGATTCATTAGCAGATGTTCGTGTTCCTGTACATGAAGCAGCTGATAATCCAGTATTTTCAAATAAAGGTTCCAATTTTGTAGTTTTATGCAAATAATGTAGTGCAAAACATAGACTGCTTGCTCCTAGTGAAGGCAGGGATGTATTTCCTGACCTGCAGTGGATTGGCTATAGAGGAACCCACTGGGAACTTCATTAATCCAAGACTTTTTGCCCTCAGATGAAGGGGAACAAACCACAACCTATTGCCTTTGCTGAGTTCTGTTCATTTCAGTTCTTTCCGTGATTCTCTGAGGTCATAAAAAAAGATGATTCAGGGAAGTTTTCCATACTAACAGCTTCTTCTGAAGACGTCTGGAGGCAGGTGTCACATCTGGAGTTACTTTAGTTATACCAGAAGTGTCTACAGGGCGTATATAGCCAGAGCCCATGGAAATCCCCATTGTAGTAGTCTCTTATGTTCACTCCAAGTACTAGGAAGAGGAGGTGATGGATATATGGGGCTATAACATTATTTGTGTTTGAAAGAAGTTATTTGAGGGTAAGGCTAAGCCAAACAGACAAAATACATTAGATATTTTGCTCTCAATCTGGTGATGTCTCCAGCTGATTCCCCTCTGCAGGAGCAGCGCTGGTGTCTGATCCAGCTCCTGCCAAAGGTCTGTTTCCTGCTTTTGCTTCCTTCTCTGTTAATTTTGGAACAGGTAACAAACCCAAAACGGACCATATGGCTAACCCCTGAGTGCTAAAAGCTGCCTTTTACCTTAGTCAGCGTCTCTTCATCCACTGCCAAAATCTTTTTTGAGTCACACATAACAGTAGAGCAGAGGGATAGTGGGAAATACACTGCATTTGTACTAGAGAACTGCAGGAAAGGATGGGCAAGACCTGATCTATCCACTCACTATTCATGCTGCAGCTGTCAATCCTGGTTATGTAGGTTTAACCTTCTGCTCTGGAGAGTAGTGGAGTTTGCAGGGAGGTTATTGGAGTCACTGGACTCGCATTGTTAAATCAGTGCTAGATGCTGATAGATGCTAAAAGGTTTGGTACCCTAAAAACTGGCAGTGTGCAAACAGGGTTTCATTTGGTTTTCTTCTAAATACCCTTGCTGCAATGTGTGTGTCAGTGTTCCATTGTCATACCTAGCAAACTTGAATTGCTCTTTGACCAAGACGTTCTCCTCTTCTCCAGGCTATGCCCTCATACCTTCCACTAAATCTGATAACTTCTCAGACTCCAGCCACAGTGAGATTTCATCCCGGTCCAGCATCGTGAGCAACTGCTCAGTGGATTCCATGTCAGCAGCGCTGCAAGATGAGAGGAGTTTGTCCCAGTCTCTCATTGTGGTGGATTCAGGAGGGCCAGAGAGGAAAGAGCATCCTCAGCCTCTGGCTGATTACAGCCAGCCATGCCCTGGGTAAGATGCAACTGGTTATGGTTGGGCTTGGTGTTGTTTGGTGTCAAAAGGGATAACAAAGCATTGGTGAGGACACAGTTATTCATTCTGCTGTCGTTATTAAGCTCTGCTCTGTATGGGAAGAGCCTGTTTTCCCAAGAGACTTACGGTATTACTCTGGTAGACAGCAGCTTGTTCCCAGTGGTGGGATCAGATGGACATACCATGCAGGGGACTGCAAATGTGTTTAAAACTAGGATGGTACTTAACAACTGAGTGTGGTAATGAGAGACAGCAGAACAGGGTATTACCAGTGCTCTCTGAGTTGGCAGTGCCAATCACTTAACATACTTAATGTGATTTTTAAGGAGTTTTCTTATTATCATTTGTTGCTCAGGCAGGCTGGAAGCTTCCTACCACTGAATCCTTGGAGTTTCCACACAAAAGGTCTTACTACTTTAGTGTGATGAGCCATTGTCCTGAGATGACACTTTAAACTGGAAGGTTTTGGTTTTGTATTATTAGATGTTAGCCCTTGCTCTATAAGATCTAATATGTGGGAATCTTCTTGAGATAGCCTCTTCTGCCCTCAGATGTTGTGGATTCAAGTAAATGAGAGATGCTCCTTCCATTCCGATTTTTACAGCTCGTCTCTAACGCTATATAAGGTTTTTATGCTTGAACTCTGTAAAGCTATGTAACTGATTAGAATATACCAGTATTCTGTGATCTCTCACCTGTAAAAAAGCTTTTTAGTGTGTGTTTGTTGAGGTGCTGCAGCTCTTAAGAAATCCTTGATTTGATTTATTTCACTGGGGGAAAACGGGAATTTAAAGATGTGCTTCGTAATAGAAAATAATTCTTCTATCTAAAAGGCCTAACACATGCTGAGAGTTCAGTCAGAGCAGGAGCAGCGAGCTGAGGAAGTGCCCCTTGGAACTGGCTGGGAGAAGAAGAAAGCTGGTTTTAGGGTAGAACTTATGAAATAGAAAAGCAAGGGAGGAAAAGAAGTTGTTTGCACATATCTAAGAATAACATTCCTCGATTTCACAATGTGTCAGTAAACTGCTGAGGGATAGTGTTGTGTTTTAATGTTGGGCTACCCATGCGCTTGTTAACGTAACCAGGAACAGTTAAGAGACTTGAATAATGTCTACCTATTGTAAGTTCATGTCTTTAAATGCAGGCAGATCTGGCTTGATTTTACCCCCCTTAATTATGCACCGACGGTGATGAGAGCCTGCAGCAGCCGTTTGGTTAAACATGGAGTTTTGTCCTTTGCTTTTCAGAATCTGTCACTCCAGATTGTTTCCACAAATGTTATTTATGCCCAATATTTCCAAATGTCCTTGAAATACAAATACCTCCACTCTGTCCAAACAGCATCGTGATGCTGCCAGAAAAGGGGTGGGGTTTTATGCTAAGTATTTATTTTGGGTTTAGTTTATAAGTGCAAAGAAAAGGTGGTGGGAGCCTGAAACCAAGAGGGCATTACTCCTCTGCTTTCCATCAAGCGCTGTCTTGCTGTAGTTGATAAAGGAAAGCTTCTGTGGACCAGATTTTTATGGAGCTGGGGTCATGCCTGTAAACGCCTGTTGCAGACTTGTTATTCCCTTGGGAATAACTTCCCTGCTGCCGTGTGCAGTGATGAGTTGGGAATAACTGTGTCTCTTGTCAGTGCTCCTGTGTGCCTTCACCTTGCTGCTTACTTGTTCTAAAACCGGAGTTGGTTTTAAACCCAGGTGATTGAGTACATCAGGTTTATTAGAACAGTGTTTTTCCTGACTTGTGGTGTTCAATTGCAGCTGGTCCATCACCAGGCCTGCTCTCATCAGAGGGATGGCTTTCACATCCTCCATGAGCAACGAGGAGATCTCCCACGAGCACATCACGGTGGAGGCAGCAGATAGCGGCCGGGGAAGCTGGACTTCGTGCTCAAGTAGTTCTCATGACAACTTCCAGAATATCCCAAACCAGAAGAGCTGGGATCTCCTCAATTCTTACCGTCACACGCAGCTGGACGGACCCATAGCTGAAGTCGATCCCACAAACTGTTACTCCGAGGAGGCTTACTTGTATTCAGAAGCCTTTTCCAAAACCAACAGGCAGTCGAAAGCCAGCGTGGAGCTGGATCAGTCTCGGCAGAGCTGGGCCTCCTCCAGCTCACTCTCAGACACCTACGAAACAAACTATGGGACAATTAAGCGGAGGGGGCTGGAGAACTCCACAGCCGAGCAGACGGAGGTTTTGGACTCTAAACCGGGCGCTGATACCACTTACAAAACAGTGACTTCGAGCACAGAGAAAGGCCTGATAGGTAAGTGAGCCAGCAGCTTATGGAAGCTCCTGCATCTGGTTTTTGTTTTGATATGAAGTTAAGAGATGACATCAGCAGGTCTGGGGGCTGGATGGCATGTTAAATTCAGCTTTACATGTGGTTTGAATCAGGACACTACGCAGACACTGTGTTTTCAAGCTGCCTCTTTTTGCATTAGGAAAATGGCAATACTAAACCAGCCCACTTCCCAGTCACCTTATGGGTCTGCAGGAGCAGCGTCTGCATGAAAATGTCAGGCAGTTCCTCCCTGTAGTACGGCCCCTTTGGTTTTTGGGTGATTTTGGAAACACTCATCACTGTAGATGGTCCTCTGTCAAGGAACAACAAGCACGGCCTCTTGAAGTCCATATAATACAGGCTTTCCATGAACCTGAGCAGGAAGAGCGTGACTGCTGAGGGGTATGGACCCTTTGGAGCTGGAGCACCTTTCATCCATAGTGCTTTTGTCTCTGGAAGCTCAAGGGCAAAGCAGACTCCCTGCCTATCTTTGCTATGTTAAACTGCCATTTATTTGGTTATACAGCTGCAGTTTGGCTACATATGAAAGGAGAAAAACATATAAAATGCCTTTTCAAAGATGCATAGTTCTACCGAGATGTCTTTTCCTGTCCTAGTGAGTTCAGCAGCCAAAACTAAAGGAACTGGGTTAGGAACAAGATAAAACGTGGAGGGCAAAGCTTTCTAGACTGTAAGTCAAAGGTGCAGCTGAAATGCAGTTTAATTACTGACTAGATTGCTAGAGGGGTTTATGTTATCAAAGGTAATTGCCTAAATAAGCATCGCACGTAGGGTAGAGGTTTTGGGTTGCATTCCTTCTCCTTGGCTTTGGAGGAGAAAGGCAGCAACCTTGGAGTTCCAACCCTAACCATTGTGTGAGCATGGTGGAGCCTTGCTTTGCTCACAACTCACTCCTGTGCATGTGCTCTGCCCTTACAGGCTCTCAGGAGCCTCTGAGCTGTTTCAGGAGATGATGTTGGCTATTCGTACTTGCTGTCATTGCTCAGAGCTCTTCCCCTCCTTTTTAATGCTGTTTAGACGCTGCACCATACAGCTTGCCACCTTGGTGCAGTCCAGCACGCTGGTAAGAAACACTCAGCAACATGCTTCAGTAGAGCATGCATGTGTCTGCTTAAGCAAAGATCTAATATAGGTGGATAGAATCTCTGGTTTGCAAATGCAAACCTGTTAGCGTCATCCAATATGCCAAAGGCATTTCACGTTATTTCACCAGTTGCTTGCTCGCTGCAAACAGCTTGTTGCCAGTCTGTAATGACTGCACGAGTTCAGAATAAACAAAACAAGAATCTTCAGCTCGTCTGCTTAATGAGAGCTGGTGTTGAAAAGTCCCCCCAAAGCACTGGCACAGGCTTGCCTGCCTGAAACCTTGAAAACGGAGCTGGAAAGGCAGCTGCCCACATACCAGGGGCAGAATGTGGGCTTGGCAGACGCAGTCAATGCGATGGCTTCATGACTTCACACACATCTCCACCCTCTGCAATGTTGAATGTGTCTCACAGCAACCTTTGCTTTACCAGCAGAGGAGGTGGGACGTGGTCATGTGCCTTTGCTCTGCCTCCGAAGGAAAAAGCTTTTCCATTTCTTTTACCTGTAGCAGGAACCAAAATTTGTATCACTGCCTTTTAGTTACGTTTCCCTTAACCACTGTGTAGAATTCCACCTTAGTTTCTTTACGAAGTGAGTATTGGAGTAATCAGTTGCTTGCAAAGGGGGTTTCCTTGTGCAAGGGTTTTGTGACCTCCTGAGCCTCTGGGTGGGTGACAGCTTAAGGATGCTTTAATGCTGCAGGCAGGAAAAGCTTTTAGGATGCTTTTGTTTTGATTGAGTTTGTGAAATGCTATGAATTGGAACTTTACAAAAGGGCATGGTATTCCTGCTTTTCTTCTTAGAGTAGGCTAGATGTTGGATTTAGGAAGCCTGAAGCTCTCCCCTTCAGAGGGGAATATACCAGCCCTTGTCAGCCCTCCTGCAAAACCAGTGCAGACAGGAGGTGCTGGTTTGCTCAGAGGACCCAGCCCTTTGAGGAGAAGAAAGCCTCTATCACTTCCCTCCTTTCTCACAGGGGCCCAGTTAAATGCTAGTTAAATGAAAATGCTTCCTATAAATGAGCAGGATAAATCCCTGCCTGTACCCACGTGTATCCGCTAAAATCCAACCTGTGTGAATTCATATCCTGTTTTGCTATCAGCCCAAGCATGAACTGAGGTCATGGTGTATGAACCAGCTCTTGTTCCTGACACCAACACCCAGAATCTCCCAAGTCCACAATGCAATAAGAAATACTCCTTTATTTTAATCCTTTCACATTAAATAATGGAGCTGTCATCACAATGCACTCTGTAAAATGCATCCTCAAAAAGAATGCAGATTCACCCAACTAGTAGATGTTTAACATGATCCCAGCTTTGAAACTCTCCTGTTGCAACGCGTACATGGAAAAGCCCAATTTAACATGCACAAGAGCCCCAGACCTGGGGGCAGGCGGGAGGGAAGGGAACTTCATAAAGTTAAGGTTTGGGTTGAGAGCCTGTGTGACCTGAGCTGTTGATGCACAGGGCAGGAAGGCAAATGATGTGGCATAGACATTGCACATAAATATTATTGAGTGTAGGCATTTCGTGGCTGCAAAAGGTGGAATGCAGCCTTCCCAAAGGCTTTTGTTTCCATGGCTGTTCCTGGTTATTTCTCACTTACAAACAGAGAACACAGTTTAAGATACAGGTTTAAAAGTGAACAAAACAAAAAAGTGTGGACATGATAAGCCATTATTTTCTATTAGAAAATGTGAAGTAATGAATATCCAGTCTGCCTCGTGGGTGCAGTTCTGTGTGATAAGGCCGGGCTCGATATGGTTCTGAGCAACCTAATTTAGTTGAAGGTGTCCCTGCTCATTACAGGGGGGCTGGACTAGATGACCTCTGAAGGTCCCTTCCAACCCAAACCATTCTATGGTGATACTACGTTTTTAATTCCTTTAGCATTGCAGATTGCTTGGTTTAATGTCTTATTACACATCAGTTGGGACAATGGTATTTTATTATAATGAATTTCTGTTCATCACCCTTTTGGGTGCTGCAGTGGATGATGTTGGAAGTCAACCAGCAGTTCTTGCTGTCACTCATGCACTATGCAAAGTAACTTTGGGCTGGTGGCCTGGATTTCTTTAGTTTCCTGGCCTGTCACAGAGTGGCTGCAGGCTCAGCCGGCAGCATCGCAGTGCTGGCTCTCCATCCATACTGGGAGCTCATAGCATCCCACTGGAAAACAGTGCCACAGGAGTAGGGACTTTAATGAGCGCTGTAAGTGCAAGCTGAATGTAGAGGTTACAGTGCAGTTTCCACTCAATTGGCACCGTGGCTACTGAGTTCATGGGTTTTCTTGCCACTCTGGCTTCTTAAACAGAAAACATAAATGAAAGCATAAGTATCTGCTGTCGTTATAACCAGTGTTTCTGCATTTGCATTTTGTTATCAGTTTCTGTTTTGCCATTGTAACATTTCATGATTTTTTAACGTTTTGTTTCCTTTGTTTTCTTCTTTAACATTTCCATTGCTTATTTCTTGTGCCAGTGTACTGTGTCACCTCACCTAAGAAGGACGATAGGTATAGGGAGCCACCGCCCACCCCTCCGGGATATATGGGGATATCTTTAGCGGACATAAAGGAAGGATCGCCCCATCACCCACACCTAAAACCTCCAGACTATAGTGTGGCAGTGCAGAGGTCAAAGATGCTGCACAGTGACCTCTCTAGACTTTCATCAGCTCCTCTCGGTAGTGAACCGGTGGCCTGTATTGCATCGAAGATGCCTCAGTGGCATAGTCGGCAGCCGTCCAACCCCAAACTAGCAGATATGACTGACGCAGATAGTGAAGAGGATGGTATGTGCAACACTTGGCTCGGTAGATGTTAACTGAACTGCTGGGGGAATCTGTGCAACCATGGTCTGGGCTTTCTCTTGGTCATTCTTGGAGATTAAGACTTGGTTAATCTCTACCTATACAAATACGTTTGTATGGCTGTATGCACATGCATATATGTCTGCATGTATATACACGTCTAGAAAAGAAAAAGGAAAAGCATGTTGACACCAAACACTCTAAATTACCTATAAATGTATATATGTAAATATACATATGAGCTCTCCCAAAGCACAACTGAGACACTTAAGAGCATGTAGATGCTGTTTTGTTTTCTTTAAAATCTATCCCCGCTCAGTGGTGATGCTCACTCTAAGGGACACTGTCAGGCTATAAATTATACATGAGAAAGCCCCATCCTCTCTGGGTTGATTAACTGATGTCCCCTGGTTTAGGGGGATGATCTAAAATGGGTATTTTTGGATTTGTTGGGCTGTTGTATGACTTTTGTTTCCCATTTGTATTCCCATGTGCTCCTGTTAAACTGTTTATTCCTCAACAGACATCCCTGGAGGTTGAGTTGAAAATGATTGATCAAAATAACAGTGAATTTGTGTTCTTCCGAAAAGTGGGTTTGATAAAACCTGGCTTCCCAGCCCAGCGTGGCCTGACAGTGTCTCCTAGAGCCACATTTGTCATGATCTTGTTTGAAGCAACAGCCAACGCTGTGAGCACAACACGAATGGGGTGACCAAAACGCAAGAGATTCTTCTGCAAAAGACTGCTCTTATATTGTGTCAGAACATCAAGTCAGGGGAATTCCTACTTAACTGTTTTATGTGCTGATTCGCTTTTAATCCCTGTGCACTGATGTGATCTCTCTGTACCCTTTGCCACTGAACTCATTTTTTATTAGAACGTTGTGGTTTCCATCCATTTCAGTCGGGTTTCAAATGAGCCTGGATTTAGATGAAAACAATTTCTGATGCAAAATGATCCTATCTTGGCCCTTCAAAATACCTAAACAGTGTTTAACATATATATTAATACTTCAATTCAAACTCCTGGTGAAACGTGAAGGTGTCCCACATGAATTCAGTTGTGGTGTTCAGTGTTTCTGATGTAAAAATAAAGACGTAATTGCTTCAAACATCTTAATCCCAAATTTTCTAAACTAAATTTAACCATACCCTTTTAGATACACCTATTTTTACAGTGCTTGGTTAATTTTCTTTGGGATACAATGCTCACTGCATGATGGGAAGTGAATTTACTGGCTTTTCTCCCAAATCTATAGCTTTTGGCATCTTGGGAGCTGCATGCTAATAATTTTTCAGAGGATCTGGGATTTTCTGTTCTGCAATACATCTTTATTGTATGACTGTTATCAAATCCTCAAGGGGTCTGGGGTATTAATGGCAATACTGAATATGTAGTGGTCAGTGATTAAACCAGTGAAAACATCACGCTGAAGTAGTGAAGTCTTCACAGAATCGCTGTAATCAAATAGTGGGGTATTGGCCTGTACCCTCGGTGTCTGAGGCAAGAGACTGGTGGACTAATTGACCCTTTTTCTCCTCTTGTTTTGCAGAAGATGAACAAGTATCAGCAGTGTAACCATCAGGCTGTTTCTGTAAACCACAACACAAGGGATGTGGGGAGAAGGACCACATGATTCTGTTAGCCAACGCTAACAACTTGCTGCTACTAACCTCAGACATTGTGTTTGCCTCTGTCATGGACAAGATGGAACGGGTTGGATCACATCTCTACCTTACTTCAGTCCACCACCGCCTCAGAAGGCTATTTCTGCCTGTGAAATAGCAAACCATTTTCAAGGAGTGTTCTGACTGCCTGGATGCTGACCTCAGTGTCCAGAGATGGACCAGGCTTCATGCATTTGGGAGGACCAGTTGTCACCACCATTTGACACTTGGAAGCATTCTTCTGTATGATACCATGTAATCCGTGGGTAGTTTTCCATCGTCGTTAATTTTCTACATGACCATTATTAAGTCTAAGAGTGTTATTTTATGAACTTTAAAAAGAAAGAATTTATCAAAATGTCAGCAAAAGCGAAGGACATTGCTGAAGTATCTGAAAATAATTTATTAATTTAAAGTCTTCTTTTGATGGGAATTTCCTTTATTCGTGTTGGGAGTGCTCTGGTTGGCTAATGTAAATGTTTAGTCAAAGTGATGGTGAAGTAGCTACACAAACTGTTGAGCTCTCAAACACAGGGAACAGGGAAGAGAACGTTATCAGGTGCAGAAATAAGTGGATTTTAGAGTGGGGTTGGATTCAAGCTAGGTGGAGCACAAAGCCCTGCAGAGCGGCACCGTCTGCTGCTCCCTCCTACCTGGCCACAGCAAAGACCCTTCTCCTTGGAAGTCTATTTGGAAGCGATTTAGCTGGCAGCCAACTAAGGCAGGAGTTGCTCTCCTCCCCTGTTCAGTAACAGTTTAAAAGGTGGAGGCTGAGGCTGGCAGGGAGCCCGCAGGGGAGTTTGAAGCTTCACCAGGTTCTGCCCTGCAGAGATCCACATGCGAAGCCTGTTGCTAGAAACCAAACCCTGAGCCGTGTGTTGTGGGTTTTGGGATCATCCCACACGTGGTGGCCCTCTGCCAGAGCTGCACAGGATTTAGGTGCAAAGGTTATCTTTAACAGACATTCTGAATCACCCTCATTTCACAGTAAAATCACTGCAGCTGGAGATTAAGCGGCGTAATGCTTATATAAGGGTATAATGTGTTTTATGATGGGTTAAAAACCTCTGTTGTGTTCATCTGGGAACTACAGATGGTCTCAAAATACACTGTTTTAAACCCTAGGTTAAAATCCTGGTGCTGTGGATGTCAATGGCAGCTTTGACTTCCAGCCAGCCAGTATTCCCATGTGATCCTGGTGTTTGACCACGGTCAACTGAATGGCTTATTTGATTTTGCTTAGCCAGCCAGAGCCCAGAGGGGTAAAACTGGAAATACCTGCAGGTTCTTTCTTCCTTTCTTTCTTCCTTCTAGCACACGATGCCCCATTCTAGTGTTACAATTGGACATGAATGTGTGAATATGTATTTAAACATTTAATTGTAAATCCTTGTTGTGATGTTTACAGCCTAAGCTAGGAAGATGATGTTTGTCATTTTTACAGTGCCTCAAAAATGATTTCTATATCCATAGTTGTGAAGAGCTTTAAGGTTTGTTTTCTCTTTTCCTGTGTGTGTGCAGGGGGTGCAGGGGAATGCAATGTTCTCTGAGAGTGACACAAGTACCAAAAACAACCCAAAGCCTTCAATGTGCTCTCCCCATTGCAGCCTGGGACTGATGGGGCCGGGGGAATGGGTATGACCCGGCCTGTGCCCGTGTTCATAGTGATGCCAGGTTCAGTGTTACCGTGTGGCTGGAGCTTACCCACATTGATTGGAGTTTGGGAGGTGTTAAATCAACAGTGATGCTGAGGAAGGGATGCCTTGTTCCTAATTGGCTGGCACAAGTAACTGAGGAGCAAATGGTTGAGAACAATGTATTAAAGCCCAGGTGAGGTATAACAATAACCACATTTTGCTTTTTCGAGGCCTTAATAAACACAACGAACCTGCACAGGCCTTAATGAACGAAGATTCACGTCGGTGTGAAAGCACTGCAGGGCACAGCACGTGGAACATTGATAATGTAACTGTTAAGCTGATCTCCTGGGATGTAAACCCAAGTCTGAGCAATCCCACTGTCAGCTCTAGTTTCTTGTTAACTCTTGCATGGAGTGCACAACAGTTCTTTGCCAGGAAATGGTCTGTGTTGTGCCAGGTGAATTGAAGCACACGGTTCCCGTGCCCTCGGGTGTTGAGCTGTAGTTTATTTCAGCCTGTTGAACAAACGTAGAAGGGATGAGGGGTTGGTACCAAAGTGACTTCCTCCTTCCCTCCGAGCCCATAGCGCTGTCCCTGAGGATACGGTCCAGCTCCTCTAGGAGCAGGGCTGGGCTCTGCAGAAAGAGCCACGGAACCAATGCCCACCAACACATGGTGTTTGCACATCAGCAGCATCCGCCTGCTCTGCGGGGCTCTGGCGAGCGTTTCAAGTGAGTGAAAGCCTTGCTATAATCCTATTTTCCTATCTCCAAGACAGCTGGTGTAAATAAGTCCCGTTTAACCCATGGACAGATGAGCTCCTCCTGCTTCCCCTCCCCGCACCGTGTGGTTTGCCCCCTCTGCCCAGGTCCATGCTGGGAGCTTTTGTTTTGTTCTTAACTAAACCGATCACATTGATCGGGGCCGGTAGCCAAATGTAGTGTGTCTGGTGTGGATTTGAAGAGATGCTATCCCTTTTTCAGTCGTTCAGGTGGATGTGGCATGGGGTTAGTTCCTGTTGTGCACTGCCTCACTGGTGTCTTCTGCATCCCTGATCCCAGACCTGGTACCTCTGCCGGGTTCCCCTAACCCGGGCTCTGATTTGGTTGAACAGTTAAAACGCCCCATGTCTCGTTCTTCCACTGCCCTCAGCTTGCTCACGTCCTGCTGTTGACTTCCAGGTGAAAGAGATGTCTTCAGGTACTTGGGATTTAACCATGCAGTATTTCATTAACCTTGCTCAATATGAAACTTCCAAGTAAGTCCTTGAAAATCCCTTGCGCTGGTGTAATATCTCATTGGCCTCTCCACTGGCAGAAAGGGAGAAATGAGATGATGGAGCTTCTCCATCCAAATACACCAGCTCCTGGAAAGGTGATGTCTGCAGACGCTGCAGCATGCGTTGGTGCAGCGTGGACGCACAGGAGCGGGTGGGTGTTGGCTGATGATGGGCAGCGTGTCACTTTCCTGGCTCTTCCTTGCCTTGAATCCCATAAGGAGTTCCACAGGTGAGTGGGGCTTCACTGGGAGCTGGTCAGAGCCCGTTGCTTGGGATGGGGCACACAGTGCGCTGAGGGCTGCAAGCACCCACCGCAGGCACAGGGCATTCCAGTTCCCCAAGGGGTGGATCTGTCCGTGCTGCCGCTTGGGTGCATCATCTCCCACGTCATTTCATGCAGGCAACAGTGGAAATAGGAGCCTGTCGTTTCAGTTGGTATCGAGCATCAGAATTCATTTTGAGTTCAAGGATAAACTTATCGCTGCCTTTGCAGAAAGACAAGGAAAAAGGGATACTCTCTCTTTAGAAAAGCTTTACACATTATATTTTAGGACGCTTGTATAGAGGGTAATCTACCTTGAATTCCCCACCCAGCTTTTGCTTCTGTTGTGCTTTCTCTTGGTTTCTCTTTATTTTTGATAGACCTGGAATGCAGTTGAGCTTGGTATTAATTCTAAATATGTGAGCATATTGGCAAAACTGCACAGATGTAATGATATTCCAATAGCAATTGTACTGCACAAGTCAGTGATTGTAAAGTATTCTGTAACAAGCAATGTTTGTCTCCTATTTTTTGATACCTCTTACACTTATGTCTTTTAGAAAGACAGTGCCTCTGTATGCTTTTTGTATTTTTACTGAGTGATTGTAAATATTTGTTATATTTTTGGTTAAGAGAATGTTTAAAAGTACTGTTTATTATCCAATCTATTAATATGTTGGAATCAATAAACAACCTACATATAGCAATTGCTTTCAGCAGCGCTTTCCTGGCAGCCATCAGAGAATGGGAGCTGGGCAGAGCCTGGTGGGGAGGTTCAATGTGGAGGTGGATGATGCTGGATCGGGACAGAGAAGGGCACTGGAGGTGATGAAGGGCCGGAGCACAGGTGTGATGGGGAACGGCTGAGGGACCTGGGGGGTTCAGTCTGGAGAAGAGAAGGCTCAGGGGGGGCCTCATTGGTACCTTGAAGGTCTTTTCCAGCCCAGTTTTCTATGATCCTGTGTTTGTCCTGACAGTGACCGAGGCTGGGTCTCCCCCATATCACCTTGCACCATGGCGGGGGAGCAGCTGCGAGAGCATCTCATGCACACCCATGGGTGCTGCATCCCTGATAGGGTCTGAGGTGCCACCGTGTAGGGAAGAGGTGCTGGCTGCAGCTGCAGCAGTGGCTGCTGGGCTCCAAAGCTGTTGTCAGCGCAGGAGCTGCCCAGGCTTTGAGTGGGTTTGGTGTTTGTTCGCTCTGCTGGGATGCTGGGGCCGGGAGCTTGGGGCACCATTCCCTCTAGGTTTGGGTGGTGATCTCGGCGCCGGGCGGGGAGCGAGGAGGGAGCCATCGCTGTGGCCTCTTGAGCCTGTAAACCCTGCGGCTGCTTGTTCTTTGCTTCCCCAGTGCAAGTGGTGGTTTCTCCTCTCCCTATACAGCCCCGTTTCCCTGCCTTGTACATGTGGATGCGGGTGGATGCGCTGCCAGGTCAGATGGGAGATGAGCTTCATCTCCTTCACCCCTTATTTCCCCCTGTTTTGTTCTCGAGGATCTTTGGTTTCAGGCAGTTTCTGGGTGTGTTTTTTAAATGCTTAACCTGAAAATGACCATTCTCCTCGAAACAGGAGCATTAAAAGGAGCTGCCACGAGAGGGCAGCATTGCCCATGGTTTTACCGGCGCCCTTGCACCCCGCCTGTGCAGAAGCTGGAGCGGGCTGGTCCCTGCGATGCTCGGCCGGGGCCCAGCACCCTGCGGGTAACAGTGACCCCAGCCTGGGTTTGCCCATAGCTCTCCCGTGCCCTTTGGCTATGGATGTGTGGGGACAACGCGGCTCCTGAAGCCATCAGTGCAGGAGGACGGGGGTCACAGCAGAGCTCTCCAAGCCTGCCCGAGCGCACGTTCCAGATTTCCTCCTTGCTGGTGTGGATGATTTTCATCCGTGATGTTTATCCCACCCAATAGAAGCCATGCTCTTCTCTGCACTCTGTTCTATGGTTCTATGATCCCCATCTGTCTCCAGGCCCTTTTGTGGGGTTGTAAAGCTTTACTTCCTCCAGGTCTGGAAGGAAAAGCATCGCCCAACCGTGGTTCCAGAGGAGCACTTGGAGCCCGGGCTGTTTTCACTGTGAGCTTTGAGGCTGTTGGCATCATCTCGTGAGGTTTGTCCCTGAATTTGCAGCACTTTCCTGGAGCTCCAGGTGCTGGGGGCAGGAGCTGATGCGAGCTGATGATGCTCGCAGGGGGATGTGTCAGCAGCTCGAGTGGCTGTGAAGAAAACCTTGAAAACGCCAACTGTAAGAAGTGTTCCTAACAGAAAGATGGGAAGGAAATGAAGATCCGTGTTCATTCAACCTTCTCCTGCCTTTGCTGGGCTGCTGGATCCTGACACTGGCCTCCCATAGCCCCGTCAACCTAGAAGCAAACACAGGAAGAATCATAGAGTCATAGAATAGTTCGGGTTGGAAAGACCTTAAGATCATCCAGTTCCAACCCCCTGCCATGGGCAGGGACACCTCACACTAAACCATGGCACCCAAGGCCTCGTCCAACCTGGCCTTGAACACTGCCAGGGATGGAGCATTCACAACCTCCCTGGGCACCCATTCCAGTGCCTCAGCACCCTCACAGGAAAGAATTTCCTCCTTATATCCAATCTAAACTTCCCCTGTTTAAGTTTTAACCCATTACCCCTTGTCCTATCACTACAGTCCCTAATGAAGAGTCCCTCCCCAGCATCCCTATAGGCCCCCTTCAGATACTGGAAGCTGCTCTGAGGTCTCCACGCAGCCTTCTCTTCTCCAGGCTGAACAGCCCCAACTTTCTCAGCCTGTCTTCATACAGGAGGTGCTCCAGCCCCTGATCATCCTCGTGGCCTCCTCTGGACTTGTTCCAACAGTTCCATGTCCTATGTCCTTTGCACAGGATGAGCAGTAAATGGGCTCCACAAACACCTCCATTCATTCCCCTGTTGCTCTCAGACGAGGAGAGTAATTACCAGTGTGACTGCTGCGAGTCAATCCGGGCTTGGGAGACATGAAGGAAAATGGTAATCACTGCATTTCCAATGTAGATGTAGTTGCGTTTAACGCTGATGAGCAGCAGTAACGATGAAGGCTGTAATTGTATCTGCAATTCCAAGCCTCGCAACGTAATTTTATATACTCCAACATCTGGTTTAGGATGGGAGCTGACAGTGCCAGATAATTGGCTTCCTTTTTCAGGCCTCTTGGTTAGGCACCATCAAGTTTATAATAAATTCAAACTCACTTATTAGTAAACACGCCTTGTGTTGAACAACCAACAGTCCTGGGCATGGTGAGTGGGTTTGGAGCAGCACAAGTCCACCTCGCTGCT